CAAAGAAGCCTCTACACATTTGTTCAGGGCCTCAAGCAGAAGTCAGACTGCTGCATCCTCACTAGGAATAAAAGTTCCTTCGTGACTTTACAGCTTATTAGTTGAAATAATCAAATGTGTTGAATGAACAAGATGTGTAAATCAAATGTTTGAATAATCTGTGTTTTAATCAATGATGGCTTTAAAAGGAATATTGTTCCTGCAATGACCCGTTTCAGTTCTTATCTACACCAGATCAGTATGAGTTTGATTAAACAAAAGTTAATCTATCAATATGCTCATACACACTATAATAGGATTATTATTATTATGATTGATAAGTTTCACTTTACATAAGTGTTTTAAAAACACTCATTCACAAAGAGTTAACCTCTGAGTATCTGAAAGAAGAAGTGACTTCTTGGCTAATTTGTCAACAATGTGATTTGATAAAACAGAATTGTTTCCGGAATTAATTCAGTTTCCAGCTGACTCCCAATTTGACCAAATTGGGGAAAAAGCATTTTGAAACCATCTTCACTTTTGACATTAAGTTAAAAAGCCTCTCTGCGATGCTGCAAGTGATTACAGACCCAACAGCCCTTTTAAGAGCTACTACACACTTCACAAATCCAACCTGCAGGCCCTGGTCGCATCTCATGGCCGGGGGAAGCTGAATTCAAAGGGGGCTATGACTCTTTGGGTTCTCATAGTCTTGACGTCTGGTGACTCACCACTTCCTCCGGACCGCCAGGGGCAACACATACAAAGGGTATTGTAGCCTGCACACTGGCGTCAGGTGGTTTTTTATCTCTAGTTTACCAAACAGACAGCCAAATTTATTTTACAACCCAGACTCCACAAATTCTCTCAGACACTTAAGAAAGGTTTTGCTAAAGCATCTAGCTTCCATTACATAAGTTCATCCATCACATTAAATCACTTCACATCCATTTCATTACATATCATTATTCATACGTTGTCTTGTATAATCAATAGTTTAGGGAAAATACATTTGTTTTATAAACTATATAACTTGACTGTCTGAATTAATACGAAGTGTGTTTATGGTCTCTGAATAAGTAAAAGTAACTATAATCTTCTGATTAAACGTTCAAAGATCAGTCAGATGGATATTTCATATTTATATGGGACTATCACATCTTATTGGTCATTTTTGTCACGTCTGTAGTCACTCCTTTACCACACTCTAAATATTTTCTGGAAACTATTATTAATATTTTCAATTACATTATTGCTGATGCACAGACGCCACACTACCAAGTTCGCCAATATGTCAAAATACAGAGAAAGAACATTTTCAACTTTGTAAATGAATCTCCCAAAACGTGTTTGTCCATATGATTTACCATTTAGTTTCAGTTATTGACCCTTTGACACAATCAAAGTTTAACTGCAACAGAGCTGCGATCAAATGAGTCAGATGTATAAAAACAGCTGTATAGTTGTTTTTGTACTCAAAATAAATAACAATCATACAAACAATTATTTGGCTGCGGTCATAATTTCTGAAAAGCTCTGTATCTTGCAGCCTTTGGAAGCACTTAAAATATTTATTTTTTTAAACGTCACTTTGGAAAGTGTTTTTAGATCACCTAGACGCAGAATATGAAAGTGTTGTGCAAAATTCACTTTTTGGAGCTTTTGACCATGCCATAATGTATTTTTCTCATGAAAATATATTATTAAATAAAAAATAAAAATTTATTTAGCCTAGTCGGCCTCTTACTATATACACTGCTCACAAAAAATTAAAGGAACACTTTAAAGAAACACATTAGATACATCAGATCTCAATATGAAGTTGGATATCAATACAAACAAAGACAGGGCAATGTGTTAGGGACAAAGGGATGCCAAGTCTTTTAATGGAAATGAAAGTTATCAGCCTACAGAGGGCTCAATTGTGTAGACACCCTAAAGTCGGAGTGAAAAGAAGTTGTGGCAGGCTAGTCCATTATTTCAAAAACTTAATTTCTGCAACTCAAATTGCTTTTCAGTATCTTGTGTGGCCCCACGAGCTTGTGTGCATGCTTGACAACGTTGAGGCATGCTCCTAATGAGACAACGGATGGTGTCTTGAGGCATTTCCTCCCAGATCGGTGTGAGGGCATCCCTGAGCTCTTGTACAGTCTGAGGAGCAACCTGGCGCCGCCTAATGGACCGAAACATAATGTCCCACAGATGTTCTATTGGGTTTAAGTCAGGGGATCATGAAGGCCATTCAATTGTTTCAATTCCTTCATCCTGCAGGTACTGCCTGCATACTCTTGCCAAATGAGGCCGGGCGTTGTCGTGCATTAGGAGAAAACCAGGACCTACTGCATCAGCTTAGGGCCTGACAAAGGGTTCAAGGATTTCATCTCGATACCTTATGGCAGTCAGAGCACCATTTCCTAGGCAGTGGAGGTCTGTGCGTCCCTCCATGGATATGCCTCCCCAGACCATCACTGACCCACCACCAAACCTGTCATGTTGAACGACGTTGCAGGCAGCATAATGTTCTCCTTGTCTTCTCCAGACTCTTTCACGTCTATCACAGGTGCTCCGGGTGAATCTGCTCTCATCTGTAAAAAGTAGGGCGCCAGTGGCGGACCTGCCAATTCTGGTGTTCTTGAGCAAATGCCAGTCGAGCTCTACGGTGCTGGGCAGTGAGCACAGGGCCCACTACAGAACGTCGGGCCCTCAGGCCATCTTTATGAAGTCTGTTCCTGTTTGTTTGGGTAGAGACATTCACACCAGTGGCCCTCTGGAGGTCATCCTGTAGGGCACGAGCAGTGCTCAGCCTGTTCCGCCTTGCACAAAGGAGCAGGTATCAGTCCTGCTGATGGGTTGTGGACCTTCTGCGGCCCTGTCCAGCTCTCCTAGAATAACCGCCAGTCTCCTGAAATCTCCTCCATGTTCTGGAGATTGTGCTGGGAGACACATTAAACCTTCTTGCTGCAGCACGTGTGGATGTGCCATCCTGGAGAAGTTGGACAACCTGTGCAACTTCTGTAGGGTCAAGGAATCGCCTCATACTGCCAGTAGAGAGCCAAAACTAGCACGAGTGGAAAACCAGCCGAAAAAGATCAAGAGGGAGAAACTTGAAATGACCTCTACATGTTAAACCAGTCCTGTTTTGAGGGTTTTGTATTTGTTGCCACTTTAGTGCACCTGCCGTTAAGTCCATGAACACCAATACAGCTGAAAGGGATCAACAATGCCCTCAGCTTCTTAATCAACCAGGAAATTATCAGACAGGTTTAACTGATTTCATGCCAGGCCCAATAAAAAAAAGTGTTCCTTTAATTGTGAGCAGTGTATTTGTTTTACTTTATTTAGTCTCTGTGTGATGATGAGAGACTGAAACACTGGAGTGATTGGTTGCAAATAAAACTGTTCACCCATGCTGGAAATAAAAATGTAGAGAGATTAATGTGTATTTTCGTGTGTGTGTGACCCCAATAATAGCTGCATACACTACAAACATCGATTTTAATTGTGAAAAATGAAGATGACTACTTAGTGGATTTCACCTGTTGCCGGTTATTTTTAGAACGTAACTCCCTCGACAAACGAAGGACCACTGTAGTGCCAACAGTAATATTTCATCATATCCTGTGCCTATCTTTGCTCTGGAAGGTGTAAAATAGCATGAGTCAGGTCCTTTAAAGAGCTGTGATTCAGCCACCCCCTTGTCAAATGAGATACAAAAATCTTCAATGGTTTTAAGCTCCAACTTCTTAGCAATCCTGTATACTTTGCTAGTAAACACATTTCAGTGTCCAAGTACTTTAGAACAGGGCTATTCAGTTTGGTACCCAGCATGTTTTAGTTTTAACCCTGCTGCAACACACCTGATTCAATCAGCAGGTGATTAACAGGCTGCTGCACAGGTGATTCAACCACTAAATGTAGTGTGTTGGAGCAGAGAAACCACTGAAACGTGCTGGATACTGGCCCTTGAGGCCCAGAATTGAATAGCCTTGCTTTAGAAGCTAATATATGATTCTGATAAAAGTTCAAACTGGTGGTTTTTGCTGCTCTTTTCAAACATTTCTTGTATTTAAGTCAATTGAAAAAAAATATTCAAATTCAATAACACGACTCATCTATCCTTACATCCCGAGTCTCTAAATCAGCCTCATATTTGCATTTGAAAGCAAACAGACTGTCATTTTACATACCGTATTTTCCGGACTATAATGGGCCATTCCCATCTGTACCGAGTTGGCCCGGGCCGGGTAGCCCCAGTCGGCCCCAGCCTGGCCCGGTTGATTCCACACATCCTTGCCTTAAGCCCATGTGGGCTGATTCTACCCACCAATCAGAGGCTTGCTCTAATGGAAGGTGTGGATTTGCTGTCAGCAGTGGGTGTGTTGGCCCTGGTCGGCCTGAAGCAGTACCCCTCGGGAAGAGGGCCGAGAATGAGCCTTGGTTGGCCCGGGAAAATTCCAGGCCACCCAGATATGTAAACAACCTACGCTACCCGGCCCGGGCCGACCCGGTACAGATGGGAATGGGGCTTAAGTCGCTACTTTTTCCCACACTTTGAACCATGCAGCTTATAATGAGGTGCGGCTTTAGTCAACCAGAACGGGTGGATGCTGGAAAGTCTAATGAAGGAATGGTTAAAGGAGTGCTACAGAAAGCACCCAGGAGGATGTTTTTTCACAGTAAAACGGCGCTGCTTGTTTTCCCAGCTTCACCCCGGCATGATGACAGCAACACGGAGAGCAACACTAACATCGCCACTGAAAAGGTGTGTGACGAAGCTCTTCTGAGGCTGTTCCACTCCAACACTGAAGAAGATGACTTCAGTGGTTTCAGTGTGCAGGAGGACGATGAATAAACTAATCAATAACTTTTCTGTTTTGTCTGATACTGATCAGTTCAGTTACGTTCAGTTAAACTACGTTTTCATTTCAGTAGATATCTGTGGCTGTTAGCCCGGTGCGGCTTATATTGAGGTGTGCTCTACAGTCCGGACATTACAGTAAATGAAATTGTTTACTCACCAGTCCATCACATGTACTTATCGCTGCACTCCCTTTAACAGTGGTTTCATCCCACACTTCGCCTAGGTAATGGCACTGTGCAGCCTCAGGTTGACTGATCTTCGCCCCCTGCAGGCCACCGTACCTCCTCTCTGTCATGAAGCCTGGAGCCAGCAGGTTTGGATTCAACGTGAGGTTAAAATGCAAGCTGTGGCCGTGGTGTAGAAACCGGTAGAAGACTTGATCTGAGTATATGTTCTCCTCTGAGGCTTCCCGGCGCTGTACGCGGTGAGCATGGTGAGCCAGGAAGTTGGACAAGAAGTGCCCTCTGGCATCAACTCTGACTGGGTGAACCACTTCAAACTGATGCAGGTTGTGCTGAAATCCCTCTGGGAAGGCTGTGAAGAGAAAACATCCCATAAGAGATGGGACAGAAGAGTCATTAAACAATCAGAAGGCAGTGAAGCTGGAAACAAACCGATATGGCTGCATCATCATCTTTTTTCTAAGAGCTGCAGGCACTCTTCAGGCTTCAAACTTCATGACGTTTTTAGGGATTTGCCTTTAACTTTCATGTGCTGCAGGTTTGGCATAGCTTTGGAAATCTGTTCTACTAAAAGTGATCCTGTAATATTCCATGACCCGAAGTGACTGAATCAGCTGTGTGCATGTGGCAAAGAGCTGCCTTTCATGTGAAAGAGGAAAGGAAATGTGCATTCACATGCAGGATAAAGAGTTCTCTCTCAAACAACCGTACCACAAAAATATATTTAACACATCGTCAACAGAAAATCTGGAAAAAAGGCTGCCAAGTATTACCTAATTTATTCATCATTGCTGCTTTTGCCGCATTGTGGGAGGCATCCATCCATCATCCAATCAGTCAATCCCAGAATTGTTTTATTTATTTTTTGCAGCCAAAAACTGAGAAACTTTCTCTTTTCCCATCTATTTTGGAAACACTTTTGTAGTCTAATCAAAGCAAAAGCAGCTCATAACGGGGAAGAAATGTTCTGATTAGAACTTTCTGTCCAAAACTCGACATAAGCAAACGAGCCCTTTTCCTAAGCAGTGTTTGCTATCAGAGCTGCTGGGATGGAGTGGTAGAAGGAAAGATGTTGTGGGTTTGGTCTTCATCAGCTACTCTTTGTCACTCTGCAGAGCCAAGAAGAAAATGCCTCCTCGTCCTGATTCTGTTTGAAGAATCTGCAGTTTCCAGTTGCAGTGATTTTGTTTCGTCAAAAATATTTGAGATCTTTTAAGGTTTTTAGAAAGTTAGAGTTAAATACGTCAAACTTAATTCATTAAAGATCATTTTTAATCTCACAAGCTTCTAAAATAGTGTTGTACAATTATTACTAAAAAATTACTCTAAAGCTACTGTGGTGCTCGTTTTTATCTTTAAATATCTTAGTAGAATGTTTCTGCAGTAACTAACAAGTGAGAGAAGGCAAAACCACATTTATAAAAATATGTAACACTTTATTTCATATTTCTGACAGATCTGACTCACCATTATCTCTGCCCTTGTCAGAACCTCAGATTAAAGGATATCTGGCTTTAAATAAAAGATGATACAGACAGCTGGGACTCCCAACACCCATCTGTCTCTCAGCAGGAAGACAGTTTTTGTCCGATTTCCTCTCAGCGTTTTGTTCTTTTACAAATAGAGAATTTGATGTTTACATTTTCCAGTCAAAACGCAGGGACATACTGTCCCACTGAAAATAGCTGGAATAACTAGCAAAAGCCTTCTTTTGTTATTGGATGAAAATACCCTTGGGATAAAAGACATCGAACTGAAATGGAGTAAAATTAATGCAGCTTTTCCCTAAACAAGCTCAATAAAAGTTTTTGCAAAAGATTTTTGTAGAAGAAACAAAAAAGAAAGTGATTTTTTTTGGGATTCTGTGTCTTTGCCTCTGATACAAAGCTTCAAATGAAATTATCCTTGCTTCATTAACTAATGGAAGAGTAGGTTCAGTAGAACGCAGTCTTTGAATACTCCTGCACGTGTTTAAAGATTTTCCCTCAATATTATAGTCCCAATCAAAAGTTTAAGACCCCATGAAGAATAAATCATAATTTTACATGTTTGGATCTTAATGTTCCAAGTAGAGCTTCAATGTGCATTAAGGAGAAATGGGAGTGAGGCAAAATATTCTTTGGGCAGCGATTTATTGAAAACAACACTATCTGAAACAGGCTGTTTTACAGCAGGTTTAAAACTGTGTGCCTTTTAAAGGCCAAACCTGCAAAAATGTGAATCCATTGTCATTTTCTGTCAGGTAGTCACACGGTCACGATGTTCTGATGGCACAGGCAAAACACTTTCCCCGTTTGAACGTGGTTGAGTTGTTGAGCTGCATGAGCAGGGCTCACAGAGAGCAACATTGATAATGAGGGGGGGACACAGTAAGGCAGTCATTTGGAATATTTTAAATAATCCTGAGGATTATGGAAGAAAATGCAGGGAAAGAAATCACCAGCTCTGAGCCAGAGAATCCAATTAGCTGTCCGTCAAGACACTGGGCAACCTTTGACCCAACTAAAGGCCATTAAGGATGCCGACTACAGCCCCATGACCATCAGACTGCATCTGAGACTCAACAGAAACGTTTTTGAACACCACAGAACTGACCGTTTTAGAAGAGAGCACCAAACATTGCAAAGGGAAGATAGTTTTATTCTCCAATTGGAAGATAATTAACTTTGATATTCCTGATGGTTTCCAAGGTTACTGGCATCACCTGAGGTGTTTTCTATGCGTCATATTGGAAGGTCAGATGTTTCTGAATCAGGAAGTACAAGTCTGCTGGAGAAGAAAGATTCAGGCGACAAGTTTTAGACTCTTTTTCTGGTATTTGGACATCTCATCTCTGATTGGCTAACGGCTACACGACTCTATCACTTACGCAGTTTGCTTTGCAACCAAGCCCCCATAATTCTGGTCTGGATATGATGCAAAACAGGAAGTGACAAAAATTGCAGTTCCACCCTCATCCACTGGGGGCTGGTGTCAGAAGTGAGCAGATCCTCATTGACTCCCATGTTAAAAATACCAATGTCACAGCAGAAATAAACATGTTTACAGCCTGGTACCAGAACATGTTTTTGGTTTAAATGATCTAGTTTACACTCATGACAACTCTGAGGGGGCTGAATTTTTTTCTCACTCTTCTGTTTAAGTGTATTAAAAGCCTAAAATTATGTATAATTAATGAGCATCAGACCCACGTGACCACAGAGCTAGCTCCGAGGAAAGGTCTCAGTCTGAGCCTCGGCCTCGCCTGAAAACTGTTCCGTCATTTTCAGTTTCTCAACTTAGACCATTAGTGGTTCCGTTTGTGCGTTCTTTTTTGGATATTATTTGTGCAATTGTTGGACAAAATGACTTGCTGTGGTATTAATTGCACTAATAGAGCATCCAAGGAGTCTTCACTTAATTATTTCGGTAAGTAAAATTATATTCATGTATTTTAGGTCACTGCTGAGCTGAGCTTAGATTTTAACATGTACTGTTTACCCCTTTGATGCATAATGGTCATTACAGTATACAGGTACTCAAAATTGTTATTCATTTATTTATTTATTCATTTATTTTGCTATTAAGCATAGCTGTTGAAGACTTTATTGCATTTGAGCCCCTCCATTTGGACTTCAGTAAGTCAAGCAAACATATTTCATGTTCAGAATGCACGCTGTCCACTGAGGTGGACATGTATTCAATTATTTGTAAATGATAAAATCTTACAAAAAATATTTGTTAAATTGTTTCATTCACACCTAAATATTAATGAAAAAAGTGTTTTAAAAATCATGGTTGAAGATGTCATAATTCATGCATCAAAGGGTTAACCATGAAATTTAAATGTAATAGGGTGAAACCCAGTGCATTTAACATAACGCTGCATTTTTGAAAATGGGTTGAAATATAACATGTTGGTGGAGCTGGGTTCCAACTATTGGTATGGTCCCCTCCCCTCAGCGACAGCTCGGCGCATCTCTGATCACAGCGGCACCTGTCTGCTGCACAGGCTGCCGGCTTGTGCCGGCACCCAGTTCTCCCCAGCGGCAGCTCAGCGCATCTCTGACTCAGAAGCTCCGGTGTGGTGCACAGTTGGCTTCGGTTGTAGCCAAGTAGCTACCTCCGTTAGCTTAGCTCCCACCTCCGCGTTAGCTTTGGGTTAGCTTTTAGCTACATCGCTTCAGTTCGACGGGTGTCATCATTTGATGCCAGCCTTTCAGCTCCACCTCTTTTCCCTTTTTTGGAATTGTCTGGACGTGACATGGTCAAAATGGTGTTGGTGGTGGGAACCTCCCATTTTGGCACAAAAACTTATAATTGAAGCCTATGGACACGAATTGTCCGGTATATATGACGATGTTTGCAACATTGAAGTTTTATCTCCACAAATAACACAAGCCTGAAGCAATTCTGCTGTGTGGTTTGCCAATGCAGGCGCATCAGTGAGTTTGCGGCCGCTGCACGGGGGAGAGGGGAGATCGCTGAAGCAGGGGAACAGTAAAGATGCAGAAACTACCGTTGTTAAAAGAGATGTATTAACTTGGAAAATGTGGGCGCAATTTTAATTGTCAAAAACTCCAGCGAACCAACCTGCTTCAGGTGTATGACGTCATCAACGACTAGTCAAAGTCGACTCGATTTTCATTACTTGACTGTCGACTTAAAAAAAAATTAAGTCATGCAGCCCCTATGGGGCATGTCTGCTGGAACCCGTGTTGCCAGAGGAAACAAGAGAGCACTAAACACAAGTTGCCATTTCTACAAACAACTTTTGCTGTCCGTGAATTTAACTGGTGTTTTTCTGTTTGGGACTCTGGTAGTTTGTCCAGATGTTTAGTATGTTCAAAAGGAAACATCAACCTGACCAAACTACACTAAACCAGGGGGCCAGACTGTTAAATTGATTGTTTACCAAAGAAAACATCGTTTTTTTCTCATCAAGGAGAGAATGCGTGAGCTGGGCTCCTCTGACACTCAAGAGCTCATTTCTCAGTAAAACAGGGAAATCTGGACTCATCCAACAACATAATGTGTTTTCATTGCTCCAAGGTTCAGTCTTCATGCTTCCTAACAAATTGAATTCTTTGTTTCAATAGCTCCTCTGATAAGAGGTTTTCTTAAGGCTGCAAAACTATTCAGTCGTTATCCACATAAAAAAGTATTTTACTTTTATTACAAATGATTAATTTTCCTGATTAGAGTTCAGTTTTATAGTTAAACGAGTTCTGCTTAAGATCAATAATGCTTATTTTGCAGATTGCATTTTTGAGATGACGTTCTGAACTAACCATTCGTGTTTATTTAATACATGAAAATTGTTATCAAGAGCCTTGATTTCATCAGTTCTCTTAGATGTTCAGATGACTGGATGCAGATGAATATTTTGGATTCATGTGAAGCAGAGCAACATCTTCCCCACAGCCACAGGAAGTATGATTGCTGACAGGATACTTTTGGGAATGAAAAGCTTCTCACTTCATCAGTTAACTTGTTGCCAACTGAAAGATTTTAATCACTGAAGCATTTTCCAACTGGAGGCTGTTATCTATTTAAATGCAGATGGTGTTTTTATATGTATTGACTTTTCAGTTTAGTGTCAGCCATCTTGCTTTCATTACGGTTTAATTCATGTTGATCTCTGCAATGAGCACATTTTTATAACTCTGGGCTGCTTGGGTTTTGCAAAAATCACATATTTTACCAACAAGTAAGATAGCCAGTCCTTTCACTCTCACATTACTTACCTGGCCTTATGCAAAATACATAAGGCCACATTCCAGGAGGAAGAAGAAGAAGAAGAAGAAGAAGAAGAAGAAGAAGAAGAAGAAGAAGAAGAAGGAGAAGAAGAAGAAGGAGAAGAAGAAGAAGAAGAAGAAGAAGAAGAAGAAGAAGAAGAAGAAGAAGAAGAAGAAGAAGATCTTTTCTGTAGCGCCTCAAGATAAAAAAAATCACGAAGAGCTTCAGAAAAACAAAAAAATGTAAAATATAGAAAATAATTTAGAAAATGATTCAAAATATATTTTTTAATGAGCAAAAATAGACAATTGTGAATAAAAAATGTAAAGAAAGAGAGAGAGTGAATAGGAAAGAGGGAAATGAGTGGATCCTGAGGAAGGTGGAATAGGAAGGGAGAGCAGAACAAGGAGAGGGTGATGAAGGAAAGACGAAGATAGACTGGAAAACCATTGAGTCATGAAGAAGCTAGGCTTGGCTGTATCTAAATGTTGATACTGTTAAGCTTTCTCCACATTTTACCACAGTGTACGATATTATTGTTACTAATTATAAAAATGACATAAGCCTCAAGTGACATTACCTTCTCGTTCAGAAACTGAATCCCAAACACTATTATTACTATTTTAAAAAACGTATATAATATTAACACCTTACTTAAAAAACTCATCCTCTAAAAAACATTTTTCACCAGAAAAAACTGCGTTTTTACTTTTCCAGGTTCAAAGTTGCACAGGAAAGGCTAACAACTTTCCCTGCGGTGCTGAAAGCCCGCTCCGATGGTGAGCTTGTGGCACAGACACACGGCTTTTCAGGCCAGTCACGACATTTCATTTTGTTTTTGATCTTTGCGAAGCACTTTGTGATTCTGTCTGTGAAATAAAATGTACTTACTTAGGTACTTAATTACTCACATCTGGGGAAGAGACTGTTTCAACCAGAAACGTTAGTCGTAGTCTCCTCATATAGGCTGTTATTTCAGCTCTGGAATGACGAGGCTGAAGTTAGCTTCTGGTTGCAGCTTCCAATTCAGGAAATGGCTAAAGGGCAATTACACCCAATTTTTCTGTACTCTGACCATTTTTAATCCTCTCTAGCTAAAAAACAACAACACCTACACTCTTCAAACATAGGCTCATAGCAGATTACATTGAACATAAATTATGATTTGTGAAACCTTTTTCTGATGTGTGAAGCTTCAGGAAAGCCGGACTCATGTATTTTTGCATCTGGCAAACACTGGAACTGGTCCTGTGCAGAAACTTCAACACCCACACTCTTCAAACCTGTACTGGATTATTCTGGGCTAATAGATGTCATACAACATAGCTTCTGATTTTTTAAACTTGTTGTTGTCTTGGGCATCGGTCAGCTTTTAGTGACATATGCTTTTTGGCGAGTATGTTCATGACATTAGCGTGTCCTCCTAGAGAGAGACATTCATTGTGCCATTTGTCTCATTGAAGTCTGGAACCACACAGCGTGCCACCTTTAATCCTAACCCTTGAGTCCTCACGCACAGTGTGTACCAGGCTTTTTGCACGTGAGAGGGGGCTCTATGCTAATTGCCTTGTTTGTGCAAACAAAGATTTTTTTAAATGACTTGTTTTAAAAGTTAAAGTTAGAGTCCCCTTAGTCCTCATTACACACTAGTGAAATTGCACCTCTGCATGTGATCCATCCTGTGGGGAGAAGGATGGCACATAATCGCCAAAACCAAACCAAACACTGACAGAAACTGTTTATGGTGTTTATAGAGGCTGTAGAGACCCACATGACAGTGCAAAAGGTCAGCTTTGCAGTATGCCCCTTTAAAGGGGTCAATTACTTTGTCAGCCTAGAGACTGTCAGGGTCTGCTCCATCAGTCCCTGCTGTCTTGTGTCTCGTCTCCCCTCGTTAAGTGTTATTTCAGTTACCTACCCATCCTAGTATATTTAAAGTTGCTGTTTGTGCTTGCCTCGTCTTCCTGTCATCTCATCCTTTCTGTCATTATCCAATAAAACATCTTATTTTCAACCTGCATCCTGTGACTACTCTCCTGTGTTAGGGTTCGTTTCCATCTCCACACACAGACAGACAGGTACAGCTTTTGTTTCCCACAATTGACATAATTTCAAAACTGCATTTTGTGTTTATTTGTGGTTGATATTGAACTTTGTCTGCTGGTCTGAAACACCCAGTGCAACAAAAAGTAAAGAAATCTACAAAGGGCAGATACATTTTCATGGCACTGTGCAGTTATATAAAGTAAAACTTTCAAATGTATCCTCATTCATTTAAATGGTAAACGATCTGCATTTATGTAACGCATTGTCAAGTCCAAGGTCTCCAAACTGTTTTACACAACAATCGCACACACACACACGCATGCACACATACACACGCACACACACACACACACACACACACACACACACATGGTGGTAAGCAGCACTGTAGCCCTGGTGCAGACTGACAAAAGCAAGGCTGCATGCTAAACCACCATCTGCAGCAGGCAAGAGTGTCTTTAAAACAAATCAATGATTCTTTCAATCAATAAGTATCTCATTCTTAGTTAGCAAGATATAGCTAATTTACAGATTTTATTAAAATTGCAGAAACACATTCTTGGAGTCAATGTGTTTGATGGGTGAAGTAAAAACTGATGGAAAGGTTTAATTATTAATAAGTTGTTTATATTTGTATTGATCATAAAGTGCCTAACTCTCAAAAACAGGGTGTGAGCAGATACTTCTGGCCTCTCATTGTGCCAAGTATAAATAACTTGTAAATTGTCTCATAAGGAAAACGTTTGTGCCAAACCATCTTTTTATTTTGTGCAGACAGAAATCTAAAAGGAGACCGTGGGATTCCTGAGTCTTCACTTGAAATTGTTCCAGTTTGAGACCTTCCTTCCCTCTGGAGCACGTTCTCATCTAAACGCCTGAGAGTTTGACTCCAGGGTGCATGTGTCATTTCAGCAGGATTAAACATGCAGCTGATTCTGTAACCTTGGGCAGTTCTTTTATTTATTTATTTATTTTTTACTTTTAGCATCCAAACCACACTAGTGATAGCAGGATGTCACAAGATTGATGTGAGGGAGGAGGAGGCGTGGGAGTCTTAAAAGAGGTTCTTATCTCAGGGAGAAGAACGGGAACCAGCTTGGTTATAATAATAATCATAATAATACATCCTGTAAATTCCCAAAGTGGACTTCTGCTTCCTGCTGCTGATTTTTGAGGTCAGAGGTCAGCACCAGACAGAGCTGGGTTGGTCTTTTTCTTTTTAAGGAACTTTCTGGTTTGCTCAGTTCTCTGCAGGACCGGCTCTAATTGCTTTGTTCAGCCTCAAACCTTGTAAACAGTGGTCACAGCTGGCCTGTAGTCAAGGAGACGGCTGCCTGTCTCGCTGGCTTTAATTAGACGCGCTCATGGAGCAAATGAGCCGCGCAACAGGAGAGGGAGCAGGGGATCGCGTTGATGTGAACACACAAAGTCTGACTCACTAACCTGGTTCATCGGACAACCCAAGCGTGCCGCAGCCTTCCAGCACCAGAAGCGCGATCAAGACCTGGATGGGAGACGCTCTTTGTCCAGAAGCGCGCAGCCCGCAGTCCAAACGGCTCATGTTGTCAGGACGGTGACCCACACGGCTGAAACATCTAACTTTTCCTCAGCTCAAAGTGTGGCTGCGACCATGCGCTCCAGTAAAACCCTCCAGTTTGGGCCGGAACATGGTTTGTCTTCACGGGGCGTTTTGTTGCATCCTGATTCCGAGCCCCACTAGTTTTAAAAGTTGGTTTTAAAGTTTACGTACGCGTGTCTGGTCCCCCTGTCCTCCATCAGTCTCCTCCCGATGACCAGTGACAGCTTGAAAAGTTTCCTCTGCAAACTTTTGCAGAGCCACCCCCACAGATGGGTGGACTTTAGACAATAGGCTGGTGTTCAGGGAGGACCGGAGGCTTAAAGGGGAACGCTGTGATCCAAGAAATCGGATATAGAGACGGACCAAGAGCCAGATACTCCCTGGAAACGGAGGCTCTCTGGGTTCTCAGGGGGTGAGATGAGGATCCGGTTTCAGACTGCAGCATTCACCTAAAGTTGAAGAAATAATTCCAGACCTTTCCACATCATGCACTCTGATCTCTGGTCTCGTGGTCAAAGAAAAAAAGTGTTTTCATTGAAGAAACCCCCTGAATGGATTAAGCTGCAATTTATTGCAATAGGAAACTTTATATTGAGGCTCATTGATGCCAAGTAAAAAAGGAACAAAGTGCGTGTTAATAATCTATTTAATCATGCCAAAGTCATTCTAATGGAATAAATACATATTAATGATAATCAGTAAGCATCTAAGTAAAATGGTTTCATTGTCAGTGTGACTTTGTGTACCATAATTATGATTTCATAAATCTAGGTGTTTTAAAAGGCATTGTATTGACTTTGAGGTTCATGAGTTTGACTAAAAATTAAAAGTTTCATAATTATGAGCTTTAGATTAATAAATATGACATAAAGCTGTAAAATCAGATATCATTTATGAGACACACGATCAAAATGAGTCGTAAACATACTTACTGTGACTTTAATTAGGATTTTAAAACGTAGTTCTTTGAGTCTGAAACTCACAATAATGACCCATAATTACTACTTGTCATCTGTCACAATTAGAGTTTGAAAGTCATGATTTAGACAGGTGACTTGAATGACCGCAATTGGTCTCTATAAGAAAACTCAGCATGTAATAGAAGAACCACTAATGTGAATAACCGAGACTTCATTATGAAAACAAGTGGCCTTTGATTAGATAATGAATGTTTAATGTAATGAGCAATAATTATATGTTGGTTGCCAGTTATTCATTTAGCTCAGCGCCCCCTCTTGCGGAGGAACAAAGGTACATCTGGAGCCCTTACACAGCATGTTGCGCATATTTTTAGATAAATTATTTTAATTAGATATTCATGATGAAAGTTTTCAAATATGGAGGTGGCTGTCAAACAGAAAACTAAAGGACAATAATACAATGCATTTTATGTTTGGAAAATAATCATCATCGTAATCATTATTGTTTATTATTATTATTATTATTATTATTATTATTATTGTTGTTGTTGTTGTTGTTGTTGTTGTTGGGGTTGGGGTTAGGGCTATGAAATTATATCAGTGATAATCTTTGTTCTGACGGTTTTACGCACAGCCCCGTGCGCAGCGCATCCAGACCCAACACGCGCACTGGAGGAAATATACGAACTGGTATAGCTGCGGACAAGAAGCGCTTTCTGGTCATTTATTTGGTGTGACAGTCTGCTCCTCTCTCCTCTCGTTCGACCAATCGTGGCTCAGAAGAGGAGCGACACACCTGCATAAAAGCAGAATCCAGGTCAGCTGTCATTCAGAGAGGCGCGATGGAGATGATCAGTCTCTGAGCAGGAGAGAAAACTGGGCTCTCACATCATTTGATCTGCACGTGTTCGGCTCTAAAGATGGATGACATATTTAACCAGAGCGGACCACCGAACCGAAGTTCGGCCGCCGATGACAAGTTCACCTTTGAGGACATCGACGTGAGCGCGGACGGCTCTCCCATCCTGAGGATTTTCATATCAGTGGTGTACTCAATGGTTTGCGCTGTGGGTTTGGTTGGAAACCTGCTGGTGTTTTTCCTCATGAGGCTGAGACAAGGTCGGAAAAGATCCACAATAAACGTTTTCATCCTGAACCTGGCCGTGACGGACTTCCAGTTCGTACTGACTCTGCCCTTCTGGGCCGTGGACACCGCGCTGGACTTCAGCTGGCCGTTTGGAGACGCCATGTGTAAGATCATCCTGTCGGTCACCGTCATGAACATGTATGCCAGCGTCTTCTTCCTCACAGCCATGAGCGTCACCCGCTACCTGTCCGTCGCAACCGCCCTGAAGAAGAGATCCTACAGGAGGTCACGGTGCGTAAAGTGGGTGTGCGCGGTTCTGTGGCTGGCTGCCACTGCGGCCACGGCTCCCACCGCGGTGTTTTCCACCGTGACCGTGGTCGCCGGGGAAAAACTGTGCCTCCTCAAGTTTCCAGAGGGACACGACTGGCTCGCCCTTTACCACATCCAAAAAATATTAATAGCCTTTGTCATCCCAATGTTTATCGTGTCTGTGAACTATCTGATGCTCCTGCGTTTCGTGAGAAGGAAGAGCATGGGCAGCAGCAACCCTAAGCGGAGGTCCAGGGTCACCAAATCAGTCGCCATTGTGGTTCTGTCTTTCTTCTGCTGCTGGATGCCCAATCATGCCATCACCTTCTGGGGGGTATTGGTCAAATTTAACGCAGCCAACTGGGACACGTCCTACTACATGGTGCACACCTATGTGTTCCCGGTCACCGTGTGTTTGGCGCACACTAACAGCTGCCTGAACCCAGTCCTTTACTGTCTGATGAGGCCGGAGATCAGAAAGATGCTGAGCACCTTGTTCTGGAGAGTCAACACTCCACCCCCGAGCAAAGGGTGCGCCACGCGCTCCGTTACGCACGAGGTCCAGGTAGTCGTCCCACTCCAGATCATAGACAACGCGGAGTACACGCTCTCCATCATAGACCGCAAAGGTTCCTCGAGCACTAAAATAATCGCCTGCAGCCGCTGAGATTGTTTTTTATTAATATTATTCTGCTCCTGCTTTTGACATGGTCGCTCCAATGCGCGTAGTCTCCTGCGCTGATGCAGACTGAATTGGCATTCATGGATATAATAAATGTAATAAACACCTCTCACAAAAAATGTACTCAAACTGATAAGATTTAACCCCCGGCTCTTGTTTTGGTCCAGACTTTCTTGACGTTTTGATGCACGTGTAAACAAAGAGAGACCAAGACAGGGACACAGTGTCCCAGCCTGGATAAAACAAGGACAAATAGATGCACAAACTCTCAAAAATCTGAAAATAAAGACCTCATTAAGGTTAAGATTTTTTTTTCGTTTTGTCTTTTCTCATGTAAAGTGCTCATGTAAATAAAAGGCTTTCCCATCAGCAGTGCAGTGAGTGATTATTACAAGCATGGAAAATGACTTATTTAGTTTTATCCAGATCTTTATATTTCAGTATGATCATAACAAAAGATGAGGTTCACATTTAAATCTTGGATGCTTGCAGCACTTCAGCAGCTGTTATTGTCTCAGTGAAAATAGGAGCAGACTGGGCAGATGCTGACTTAAATTAATTCTATCCTCCTGAACTCTTGATGAAATGTGGTGCAGCTGCAACTTGTGGTCCCAGTCCAGCACCTGGGCTGGCTGGAAAACCTGAGGAGCTCCACAACTCCTGCTTTTAGCTGTCATGCTGATTTGGAGAACCTGATGTAGGACACCCAGCAGTCGAAGGAGTGGCTTGGCTGCAGTTGGATTGGACTGAGTCCACATTTGTGCCCTTGTTTCATCCTTCTACTGCCCACATGGGCACATTGATGTTCCTTCTATAATGGTGTCAGTGTGCTCAACCCTCAGAGACCCAAATTTAGAAAACAACTGCAAAATCTTTTTTTAACCTTTCACATGTTCTAGGAGGCCAGATAAACAGGCCTATTTACACATTTTAACAGCCAACAGTGTTGCAGAACTGAACAATAGGACCTATTAGCAATGTAAATGTAGTTTTAAAAGAAAAAAAATGGGGAAGGTTTATTTTTGTAGACTTAAATCTGATGTCGTAATATTACAACCGTGGGTCTCTGGGGGTTAATTATTCAAAAAGGAGTGTCTTTTACACACTTTTGTCTAAAATTAAAACATTTTAAAAGCATTTTGCATGGAGTTAATATGTTATAAGGGTTAGAGTTTCTAAAAATCTGCTTATGAGACCAAAACCATGTTTAGATTACATGTAGCTGACTTGAAGCCCTGGGCTCTTTGTGATCCTGCTCCAGCCATGTCTGAGCATTGTTTCCAGCCTGATGCGTTTCTGCTTGCAGCTGCCCTCAGGAAGTTCCTTTGTTAGGATGGGTTTTGCAGCACGTTTAGGTGACTCATACCAGTCAACCTGTGAATATCAGCATCCGAAAGGGAACCCGAAACATTCACCGTGATAAAATGAAAGACAAATCACATCACCCCTGAATGGTTTTCATTTTTAATATTGTGGGTTGGTGTGAAAACACACACCACAATCTACCTATGATTAGACTAGGTTCTAACTGACAGGCATTTTAACGATTATTATTATTTTTCATCATTTACAACAGGAACTTTGTGGAACTGAGAGAAAACATGTCTAAATATCCTGATGTTCTGATTTTATACAATTTTAATGCTAGTTTGTTTATAATGAAAAATACAAATAATTACCATTAAAATGAGCAACATGTAGGAATTTACAGATGGAAGGTTATATTGAAACAGTTTTCCTTCTCAGCCAGCTGGGGGGTTGTCAGTTTTTCTCATTTCAAAAAGGCCCAAGAGGAACTGAACAATAACAGCAAGAGGCAAACTCCTGATACTGGAGGCATATTACCATAATACATGTAGTAAGTTCTCCCTATGGTAAAACACCCAAGAGTGCTAGAACCAGATATGACAGTGTATTTATCCACTTAACTAACTGTGTGTGACTTCAATCTAGAATCTTCTGGTGCTGATCCGTAACTGGCACCAGTTAGAGCGGACTTGTTTGTTTTGATACATGGACTGCAGCACCCACATTCTTGCCCTTATCATCATGGTAGGTGGCAATTTTCTGACCCACGACATGCAGAATCAGACACGGAGGCAAGAGATAAGTAAAATAATTTATCAAATGAGAGAGCCGGTGTTAAGGAGGAGGAGTTGGTTGGGGTCCACAGGAAATGGTCTAGAAGTAGGGGGGAGTTAATGGCTTGTGCAGGGAAATGGAGAATGTTAGTCCAGAGGGGACAGGTGGTCGGGTCTGAGTGAGTGAAGGTGAGCTCAGGAGGTGAGTGGCTCAGGGTGGGTGGTCAAGAGGAGCTGGAGGTTTAATGCGGCAACAGAAGATTCCAGACAGTTATTGGTAGAACATAAGAGGTGAAGATGGGAGAACCTAAGATACTCAAGAATGATTAGTTCCCAGGAAGTCTAACACTGGACAGTTTGAGTTCACATGAGACTTGGCAAGAGCTAACCAACATGAGTAATCATCCAGCAAGGAGAGGTTGTCCCACCGCTCTTTAAGTGCCTGACCGCGGCGGTGATTGGAAGTTCAACCACAGCTGAACCCGCTTCTCAGGAACGCCCACCTGAAACAAGGAGCTTAGGAGACAATTGGTAGCCACTCACCTCAAACCATGACACTTATAAGTTAGTCGTTCATGACTTTCAGTAAATCTTTTGCCCAGTCACCATTTACTAATATTAAACGGAAGTTTCACAACAAGCCATGACAAGTTTAATTGATTTAACTGTAACGTCAGCTGGTTGCACCAAACCTAGCGGCTTAAATGCAAACAGTAATACAGATTGGTATGTATTGTTACGTTAAAAGTGCATTCAACATTACATTTCTTACAGTGTGGTTTTATTGTTAAAGACTAATAATCCTGATGCATATCCATAAAGGGGTGTTCAATACATTTACAGTGTTCTCTGGTGTAATCATTGCCTTAAGAGTTATTAAAAAAGCTAAGATGCTCCTGTTCAGAGATGCAGAGGTTTGCTGGTGCAGAGGTGGGCTGAAAAAAGTAGGATTGCTCATTATTATTGACGATATGCACACGCCTCACTTCTGATTGGCTAACAGAACGCGTTCGGCCATAAAGCAAAGTCACAATCACCAACACACTCTCTATCCTTGCTGCAAAAATAAATAGATACGCAAAGCCTTCTGTGGGCATGCTGAGCCAAGATGGGCGAGGCCACGAATGTAAAATCACAGTGAGACATCAGCCCTTTTTACAAGACACATCTGCCGGCAAATCGGTAAAGGTGCGTCTTATAAAACGCGCCATGCTGGCATGGCTTTGTGCAAATTTTGGAGATTTGCATTTGTTCCACCTCGTTTGGTAGAAATATTTTGGTAATTGTCTGTCTTATAACTGGCGATTGCATCTTGGTGTACCAGAGGGAGGTGTTTTGATGAAGTGGGGAGTTAATGCTGAACTCTAGGAGCTTTTCGCCATTAGAGCTGGAGCTCAGAACACCAGAGACTCCACAGGGACTGATGGCAGACACCTTTAGGAGCGGCTTGTTAAAAAAACTTAGAGACAATGTGGAGTTTTTATCATTAATCTCTAGATATATCCATTGAAGTGTTGTTAAAATGAATGACATGATGCCCAGTAGTTGAAAAATATTGGTGGCTTCTTAACTTATTGACTGCCAGCCGTTTCCTGATCAGAAAAGCCCTACGCTGCCAGCATTTTCCAGCACTTTTACTATGTTAAGAGTCACAGAACGTTGTGCTCTATGATGATGTCAACGCCAAAACTACCAAAACAAAGAGTAGGCTCACCTCTTACATTAGGAAGAATCTGCAAGTTTTGAGCCTAATCAAGTCAAATCAAATAAAATTTATTTATGAAGCGCTTTTCATACAAATGCAGCTCAAAGCGCTTTACAATATTAAAAACAACCAGACGGCAGTCGGTTTCTCACCCCTCCCACACAGATTCACATACCAGATCCGCTTTGTATCTCCCTCCTCCCACCCTCAATCCCATCCCAAGTAGATGCAAACTCACTCGCGCACGCACGCACGCACGCACGCACGCACGCACACACACACACACACACACACACACACACACACACACACACACACACACACACACACACACAAAAGGGAAGGAAAGTTATCTGTTCTTTCATAACCCATTGTTGAATTGTGATCGGCAGAAGCTTTTCCGGTCCGCGCCTCACTTTTTTGTATAGCAGCAGCCCAAAACGATCTCCTAACACATGGATTTTCTGTTTCATTATCACGTGATGTGTGAGGTACGTGGATGAAGATTAGCTTTAGAGCTGGGGTGTTTGTTCTCACAGTGCGGGGGCTCGTTCCAACACCCACACAGTAAAAAATGGCTGTGAACAGTTGGATTTAAAACATTTGTTGTTAATGGCAGTGAATAAGTTAACATGTAACCATAAAAATCTGGTCTAAAATACATGGGGGCGGGTCTAAGTCTCAGGGCAACGCCATATTAGATGCCATGTTTCCTTCTACGGGAGCCCGTGAGGACAACATTCATTTACTGATTTGTATCAAACGGAAACAAAACTTTCACCATTCATAAATGTTCATACACATTTACCTCTTTACTCATTGCCACTGATGAAAGGGAGCCTGATGTGATTGTCATTTTGCTGAAGTTTGCACTCCCCAGGGCTTTTTGACCCTAGTGGTTGGTAAGTGCTTACGCCAACACAAAAATACTGCTTGCTTGCAACAATTTAGGTATCTACTGCCCCCTGTCGCCAAGAATAATACACACTGTCACTTTAATGAGTGCAGCTTTGATCACAATAAAAAGCTAATTATGTACAAGGTAAACGGATGTTCGCGGCGCCGCAGGGACCGCCCCATATCTCCTTTCTCAGCATGTAATCTTTTATAAAAAGGACACGATTTCACCACATTACCACCACAGTCTGACCACTTATAAGCGACCTAAGGGTCCCTGATGAATCATGGCTTTTCAGCAAGTTGACGGCATCGTTTTGTAAAAACAGCTAAAGAAATGTGAGGATTTTCAAATCCTTGCATTTCACCGTCTATTTTCTATCAGATGCTAAAGCAGTAGATAGGTGTAGCAGGCTGTTTTCACTTTCAACCTGCATGAAAAACTCAGAGTGACCAATTATAATCAAGAATAATCATTAAAAAATGTTTTTCAGTCAACCACACCTTTAAATCAGAATGCACTGAACATATTTTCTACCTTATTATTTTCAGCTGCAGCAAAACAAGTCCTCCGCACAAGGTTTGCATGTATATATATATATATATATATATATATATATATATATATATATATATATATATATATATGTATGTGTGTGTGTGTGTATGTATATGAATACACACACAAATATATTGTAAATGGCTGTGAGTAGGTGGATTGTCAACGTCACTCATTCAATTTCATATAAGTGGGCGTTAACCCGGATGTGGACGTGGCGTTGGCATTCCACCTGACTTGGCGTGTTGCAGCAGACCAAACTTCCACGTAAGTGCGGGTATTTTTGACTAAAATTGATTAAATGAGAACGTGTCACCCTAACAAATGCTTGTATATTTAGTCTATGGTCTTGCTGTGCCAAGCCTCTGCGTGACATTACATTGATTGCACCCCATGACAATCAGGAGCAACAAACAGAAACAAAGAACAAATACCTTGCTCCTCTTGTCATGGGGTGCAATCAAAGTAATATCACGCAGAGGCTTGGCACAGCAAGACCATAGACTAAATGTACAAGCATTTGTTAGGGTGACACGTTCTTATTTAATCACTTTTAGTCAAAAATACCCGCACTTACGTGGAAGTTTGGTCTGCTGCAACACGCCAAGTCAGGTGGAATGCCAACGCCACGTCCACATCCGGGTTAACGCCCACTTGTATGCAATTGAATGAGTGACGTTGACAATCCACCTGCTCGCAGCCATTTACACTCCCACCAAATCATGATTTATGCAAAAAAACACTTAACATGATTTTGAAGTAGACAAATGGCAGTTAACAGTACTGCATTTTACTTCCCAATTAAAAACAAAAAGCAAAAACTTAACTCTCAACTAACACAATGAGTTTTTGTACAGGACATTCAAGAACTGACACATGGTTCTGTCTATCATTGACCTCTGTTTCCCATCTGAACCTTAACTCTTCGGACTATTCATTTAAGGAAATATTGTATTTAGCAGAACAGTCAAAAACTACTCTTAGTTTGTCTGGCTTTTTGGAATGGTAAACGCCGTGATGAGGAATATACCACGCAGTGGCATTTTCTGTTCCGGATGGTACTTCTTCAGCATCTCCTCTGAATCATTTCTTCCACAGATGCCTTATAATGCTCGTGATACTGTCCATCAGACTTCAGTTTCTTTGCTAGATGGTTAAGTCGAATTACAGCCCGCCGCTTGTTGTTCAGCAGTAGAGGAGGCTTACCTCCCTTAAAAGGTAAAGGCATTTCATAATAGCCATTCTCTCGTTTTATTATTTTCTCAGAAAGAAGCTGCAAGAAATGAAAGTCATTTTGAGATACACGTTTGTCTACATAAGTTTTCTCAATAAAGTCCATCTCTAAAGCCTTCAAAACATGCTGGAATTTCTTTCACAGCAACTCTGTGTACAAAACCATGGTGCCCTGTTCTGTCAAGATGAGGATTTTTTGACCCAATAATGCTCCAGCCTAGTGCTGTTCTTTGAGCAAATGGTTCTTCTTCAGTGCCAATGACACCTTCTAAAGGAGCCAATGCTGATGGACAGTCGCAACCACTTAACAAGCCAATCTCACAATCCTCAAGTGGTTGCATGTGATCAACTAGATGTTTTAAATGTGGCCACTGTAATGCAGTTTCTCCAGTAGGAATGTGAGACTTATCCACTGGTATAAAGTCTCTTGTATAAGCTTGTTAAAGGGGAATTGGGAATTCAGAACTGAACCCTCGAACTTGTAACCCATAGGCAATTTCACTTGAGATTACTGTATTGACAGTTGTCAGGTTAACGCCGTATATATATATATATATATATATATATATATATATATATATATATATATATATATATATATATATATATATATGTATGTATGTATGTATGTATATACACATCATTTCATCATTTCAAACTTTCATCTTGAGTTTAATTTCAGTGAAAAACATTAAAGTTCTCATAAATAAAAGTTTCAAAACTAACATAAGTAATTCAGACATTTTCCAACAGTGGGGCTTAACTTCTCACACATATTATGTTATAAAATGTAACAAATAATCCTAATCTGAGATTATTAAAAACCTCTTGATGTGAAAATATCTTTAATGCATTGCAAAAACAAAATACTATTTTGAAGTCAGGTTCTTCATTGCTCCTTTTCCACAGTAACAATGCAAATAAAATGAAAATGCTGTGAAAAGGATGTAGCTTGTAGTTTTGACTGTGCATTATGATTTTGTGCAGGTAAACACAATGAAAAATGAAACGCTCATCGGTGTTCTCGTCCATTGAGTATGTTTTAAATTCAGTAACACCATCATATAAAATCCCTTCTAACATTAAAAAGTTGCTGTCAGTATTTCATGCACACCTTTTGCTCTGATGCAGCGCACATTAAAAGGCATGAAACTGTCTCATATTGTAATAATCCTGTAACTCACTGTTTTTAAGTTAAGTTCAAAAAGTTATGTTATATAAAATGTGAAAGTATTGATACAAACATAATAATAAAAGAGTATAAAAAGCACTTGACTATTTACAGATTCAAGTTCATTTTTGTACATTGTAAAACAAAGTGCATCGAAATGTTCCTAGATCTTTTTGTGTGTTTCTGGATGGGAAAAACAAACAAAAAAATTCTCTCTGCGAATAAAGTTTAACAGCATGGATTTTTTGCTGTTTTGTGATTTTAGTTAAAAAATGGTTCTGTCTTAAATAAGAACTTAAAATGCAAATGATATTAAACAACCTTTTAAATTATTTGTTATATTATGTTTACTTCTGAAGCCTGTTTGATGGGTGGAGAGTTACTCCTGTAGTTTCTATATAAAGTTTAATCAAATTTTAATAAATACACACAATAGAAGAAAAAACAGGCTTTGCTGTTGCTTGCCTTAAAGACAAATCATAGTCAGGAATGATTTAGAACAAGCTGATGAAGACTAGTTCCTCTGTCCAAATGAAACCACCAGAGCTTCAGGGTCCGCGGGACGACCTTGTGAGGGATAGACGGACCCAGAAATGCTGAGTGTGCCGGTGTTGACTCCAGGGTCAGGGGTTGTGATGTAGAGCAGGTCCAGTGCACGGAATAAGTCTTGCATCAGCGGTTTCGCAGTGGCGTCCGTGTGCTGCTGCTGTGGCGTTGGAGAGCAGAGGGAGGCAGCTTGGTTCCTGAGAGTCCCTGGTTTTAGGAGATGTCTGCTGGGAGTGCTGATCCACCGTTACCGCTCTTCGGACACCTTCCCGTTGGCCTCCTGCTCATTATTTTCTTTCCGTTTCTCCCTCCTGAAGAATCCGAGCTGGGTGGGAGAGCGATCAAACACGGGAAGAAATGATAAATTAACAAGATTAAATAATTTAACGCAACACATTTGTCTACAGGACAGGGCTCAATTTAAATGTCTCACTCCTTTAGAGTGACTCTGAATCAGTTTCACAATAAAGAAATTAAAAAAGGCTACAAGTTTATGAATACATTTTCAATAACATAATTTCTTTATATTGAATGTATCCCATAAAGTGTAAAAATAATGAAAAATGCAACAAAGCTCCACTGCAGCTTATGATCTATCAGGAAGTAATTTTAGAAAATACAAAGTAATTTGATTAAAACTCAAATAACAATATCGCTCCAGCTCGTGAGACGCAGATGACAAAACTCTGGGGTTCATGGGTGTGTTACTTCTGCATGTGATGGCATCTTACCTTCCACAGAGCCAGACTGAGAAGAGCTAACAGCAAGAATCCTCCCAGTGTGCTGCCAATTATAATCCAGATAGGAATTCTATAATCTCCTTCCTTCCTAATCTCCAATATAATCTGTCAGGAAAGATTCAATCAGAAAATGTTACTCACAGGTGTTATTTTTTAGGTTACAAGATTTTATTGATTGAGTGAGAGCTCCTTCTTGAACCGTCACCTTATCGTGGTGGAGGAGTTTGAGTGCCCTAATGATCCAAGGAGCTGTGTTGTCTGGGGCTCTTTGTGCCCCTGGTAGGGTCTCCCATGACAAATGGGTCTTAGGTGAAGGGTGAGACAAAGAACGGTTCACAGGATCTTTCATGGAGGTAAAGTCAAAGAGTCAAGAGTACCCGGCCCGGAGGGTTACCGGGGACCCACCCTGGAGCCAGGCGTGGGGTTGGGGCCCGTGAGCGAGCGCCTGGTGGCCGGGCTTTCGCCCATGGGGCCCGGCTGGGCCCAGCCCGAACCGGATACATGGGCTCATCCAACTGTGGACCCACCACCTGCAGGAGGAACATGACGGGTCCGGTGCAATGTGGATCGGGTGGCAGACCGAGGCGGGACGATCCCCGACAAGAAAACTGGTTTTTGGGACATGGAACGTCACCTCGCTGGCGGGGAAGGAGCAGGGGCTTGTGGCAGAGGTTGAGCGGTACCGGCTAGATATAGTCGGACTCACCTCGACACATAGCATTGGCTCTGGAACCCAAGTCCTTGAGAGGGGTTGGACACTCTCCTTTGCTGGAGTTGCTCCGGGTGAGAGGCGGAGGGCTGGGGTTAGCTTTTGTTAGCCCCAAGACTCTGCCTGTGTGTTGGGGTTTACCCCGGGGGACGAAAGGGTAGCTTCCCTGCGCCTTCGGGTCGGGGAACGGGTCCTGATTGTTGTTTGTGCTTATGGGCCAAATATCAGTTCAGATTACCCACCCTTTTTGGAGTCCCGGGGACGAGTGCTAGATAGTGCTCCATCAGGGGACTCCATTGTCCTGCTGGGGGACTTCAATGCTCACGTGGGCAATGACAGCATGACCTGGAGGGGTGTGATTGGGAGGAACGGCCCGCCTGATCTGAACTCGAGTGGTGTTTCGTTATTGGACTTCTGTGCAAGCCGCAGTTTGGCCATAACGAACACCATGTTCGAACATAAGGATGCCCACCGGTACACTTGGTACCAGGGCAGCCTAGGTCACAGGTCGATGATAGACTTTGTAGTCGTATCATCTGACCTGCGGCCGTATGTTTTGGACACCCGAGTGAAGAGAGGAGCGGAGCTGTCAACTGATCACCACTTGGTGGTGAGTTGGATCAGATGGCAGGGGAAGATGCCGCGTAGACCTGGCAGACCCAAACGCATAGTGAGGGTCTGCTGGGAACACCTGGCAGAAGAACCTGTTAATATGATCTTCAACTCCCACCTCCGGCAGAGCTTTGACTGCATCCCGAGAGCAGTGGGGGACATTGACTCCAAGTGGGCCTTGTTCCACTCTGCGATTGTTAAGGCGGCTGTTTCTAGCTGTGGTCGCAAGGTGGCCGGTGCCAGTCGTGGTGGCAACCCCCGTACCCGCTGGTGGCACCAGAGGTTCGGGGAGCCGTCAGGCTGAAGAAGGAGGCCTACAGGGCGTGGCTGGTCTGTGGGTCTCCGGAGGCAGCAGACAGGTACCGGATAGCCAAGCGGGGTGCAGCAGTGGCAGTTGCCGAGGCAAAATCTCGGGCATGGGAGGAGTTTGGTAAGGCCATGGAGAAAGACTATCGATCAGCTCCAAAGAGGTTCTGGCAAACTGTCCGGAGCTTCAGGAGAGGGAGGCAGCAACTCGCTCACACTGTTTACAGTGGGGATGGGGAGCTGCTGACGTCAACTGAGGCTATAGTCGGATGGTGGAAGGAATACTTTGAGGAGTTCCTCAATCCCACCTATGCGCATTCCGAGGAGGAACCAGAGCCGGGAGACCTGGGGATGGACTGTCCAATCTTGGGGGCAGAAGTTGCTGAGGTAGTCAAACAAACACACAGCGGCGGAGCACAGGGGGCGGATGAGGTTCGTCCTGGGTATCTCAAGGCTATGGATGTTGTAGGGCTGTCATGTTTGACACATCTCTGTAACATTGCATGGTCATCGGGGGCAGTTCCTGTGGAGTGGCAGACCGGGGTGGTGGTCCCCATCTTTAAGAAGGATGACCTGAGGGTGTGTTCCAACTATAGGGGGATCACACTCCTCAGCCTCCCTGGAAAGGTCTGAAAGAGGAGGGTCCGATCGATAGTTGAATCTCAGATTGAGGAGGAGCAATGTGGTTTTCGTCCTGGACATGGAACTGTTGACCAGCTCTTTCCCCCTGCAAGGGTGATGGAGGGGGCATGGGAGTTTGTCCAACCAATCCACATGTGTTTTGTGGATTTGGAGAAGGCTTATGACCGTGTCCCCAGGGGCACCCTGTGAGGGAAGCTCCAGGAGTATGGGGTGGGTGGCTTTCTGTTAAGGGCCATTCAGTCTCTTTACCAGAGGAGCGTGAGTTTGGTCCACATAGCCGGTAGTAAGTCGGACCTGTTCCCGGTTAGGGTTGGACTCCGCCAGGGCTGCCCTTTGTCACCGGTTCTGTTCAAAACCTTTATGGACAGAATTTCTAGGCACAGCCGTTGTGTGGAGTGTGTCGAGTTTGGTGGCAGGAGAATCTTGTCTCTGCTTTTTGCGGATGATGTGGTCCTCCTAGCTTCATCCAGCTCTGACCTTCAGCTCTTGCTGGGTAGGTTCACAGCCGAGTGTGAAGCGGCTGGGATGAGGATCAGCACCTCCAAATCTGAGACCATGGTTCTCGACTGGAAAAGGGTGGCTTGCCAACTCCGGGTCGGAGGAGAGGTCCTACCTCAAGTGGAGGAGTTTAAGTATCTCGGGGTCTTGTTCACGAGTGAGGGTAGGAGGGATCGGGAGATCGACAGGTGGATTGGTTCAGCATCTGCAGTGATGCGGACGCTGAGCCGATCTGTCGTGGTGAAGAGGGAGCTGAGCCAGAAAGCCAGGCTCTCGATTTACCGGTCGATCTACGTCCCAATCCTCACCTATGGTCATGAGCTTTGGGTAATGACCGAAAGAACGAGATCGCGGATACAAGCGGCCAAAATTAGTTTCCTCAATAGGGTGGCTGGGCTCAGCCTTAGAGATAGAGTGAGGAGCTCGGACATTTGGGAGGGACTCGGAGAAGAGCCGCTGCTCCTCCGGATCGAAAGGAGTTAGTTGAGGTGGTTTGGGCATCTGGTCAGGATGCCTCCTGGACGCCTCCCTGGGGAGGTGTTTCGGGCATGTCCTGCTGGCAGGAGGCCCCCGGGTCGACCCAGGACACGTTGGAGAGGTTACATCTCCAATCTGGTCCAGGAGCGCCTTGGGGTCCTGCCGGAGGAGCTGGTGGAGATGGCTGGGGAGAGGACGGTATAGAGCTCCCTAGTTGGGATGCTGCCCCTGCGACCCGGACCCGGATAAGCGGAGGAAGACGACGACGACGAAGACGACGAGTGAGAGCACACTCATCCCTAAAGACCTCACTAAGGACTATACCAGATGAACTGAAATCGATCACCATGGCAACAGATGAAGGGCGCACCCCAGACATGGTCAGAGCCATAAATCTATGAACTTATTTTGTATCCACAGAGCCTAAATAAAAGGTTTAACTTCTTTATGTCTTCAGCTGCATTCGTCTCTTGTCCTGACTGTGTTAGTTTATGTAACCTGCAGCTCTTGTGAACAAGCCATGAGAGGTCATTGGTGTATCTTAAGACAAGCTTATGTTTTCCTATTGACAAAAATGTTAAATTCCTACAGGTTTTTTCTTGTTTAATACACAGCGTAGCAGTTTTGTACCTTAATTTGCTGACAGTTTTCGCGTCGCACAGCTGCCATCTTCAGAGCTTTCCTGGTTACTTCCACTGTTTATCCTCGGGGAGTAGGGGGACTTCACGGATAAACAGCGGAAGTAACACCAAAAAAAGTTAAAAAAAACTTTGCTTTGTTGTGTATTAAACAAGAATAAACCAGTGGAAATTGAAAAGAAACAAAGAACAAAACAGAGAAAAATGTCTATGTGTGTGTGAATTAAAAGAAGAGACAAAGAACCACAGTTTCAGTATTTGTTAGATCTGAGGGAAGTTTGGGACTTCTGGAATGAGCTAACATGCATATTCTCCTCTGGTGTTGTTCCCCCCTTGTGCAGCATCATCTCAGACAGTTTACAGGGGTGGGGAACCCTGGTCCATCAAGGGCCGCTATCCAGCATATTTTAGTTTCAACCCTGCATCATCACACCTGATTTCAGTCAGCAGGTGATTAATAAGCTTCTGTAGAGCTTGAAGAGCTGCAGAACAGGTGAACCAACCACTGAATCAGAAGTGTTGGAGCAAAGACATGCAGGATACCGGCCCTCGTGGACCAGGGTTCCCCACTCCTGGTTTAGGATGATCTGAGAAACAACAGAGAGGACAGCCAGCCAGTGTTTTCAGGAAACTGTTCTCACTCCTCCCTTAGGCCTTTTTGGAGTTTTGTTTTTATTGATCTGGCAGCATCCGTCTGTCTGGTGCCATGCATTAGGTTTCTTGCCTACACTGCCAGCGAAAGTTTGAAATATTGTTTTTATGCAAATCAGTTTTAGATAATCCCATCTGCTTGATAGTCTTAAAGTCTAAAATAAAAATCCTCAAACAACGGAACTATAACTACAATAAAACCTTCCAGCCACTTATTTACAAGGTTCTTACACCATTGCCAGAGCACAAAATCAAGTCAAGGTGAGTTCAGAAGATTTTCCAGCAACAACATTGTACTGTGTCATTACTGTGCAGTTTTTTTGGTCAAATACTTCATGGAAAAACACCAACAAATTACAGCTGATTCAAAACAAAGCTGCATGTGTGACTCTAAATGTGCTTTTAGAATGAATGTCAGTAAAATGTATAAGCACACATACACAACTCAGATACCAGCAGCGTTGTACCTACAGGGTTTCCTGTTGCCAAACAGTGAAAGCCAGTCAGAAACAACATACACTTTTCATGTTCTGTGTCCCTTTGTTCCCCAGCTCCTTCAGTTCCCACTCCAGGTTCTCCTTTTGTGTTCTCTTAGCGCCCTCATGTGTCCTTTGTCTGCATCTCTGTTGTTTGTCAGCGTTGTTCTTTGGTGCTCTGTGTGAGCTTCCTGTCTAGTCCCCAGTTTGTGCTCTAATTGAGCTTTGTTCTCCTGCTTTTGGATTTCTGGAGTTTGGGCTCCATGCCTTTGGATTTATTTTTGTTCATCCTACAATAAAAGGATTTTTTACTTTATATCAACTCCTGCCTCATGTCGTCTGGGTAATCTGTATTTTGGGTCCCAACCATCCTCTCAATGTGACAACACTGATGTTGACTTTACTATATATATATATATATATATATATATATAGAGAGAGAGAGAGAGAGAGAGAGAGAGAGAGAGAGAGAGAGAGAGAGAGAGAGAGAGAGAGAGAGAGAGAGAGAGAGAGAGAGAGGGAGAGAGGGAGAGGGGAGAGAGAGAGAGAGGGAGAGAGAGAGAGAGAGAGAGAGAGAAAGAGAGAGAGAGAGAGAGAGAGAGAGAGAGAGAGAGATCGAAACATATTCCAGATGTTTGCTATTGAGTGATCAATTAAACTTTAACAACTTTAAACTAATCTAGAGTACTGGCCTACATGTATTTTTCAAAATCATAAAAATATTTCTTTTGTTAACATCAATGAAACAGTGCAAAAAGTTATTATTATTATTATTATTATTATTATTATTATTATTATTATTATGGGTAAATAATAATAATAATAATAATAATATAACAATAATAATAATATATATTATAATAATAATAACTACAACAAAAGGTTTGGTGTTTTAGGGCAAAAGTCATCCTTTGTGAATTGTGACTGCTGTCACACTGCTATTGGCTAATCTTTATCTTTACATACATTATGTGGTGACAATAATTAAACTTATATTGAAATCCACTAAAAAGAGCCAGTTGTTACGTAATCTGCATAGTGATAAGTGGTGAAGCAATCACTGTTAGTCTAGAGCACAAACTGAAGCACTTTCTAAATCACTAAAAAAAAGCTGAATAAATATTTAAAGCAGGGACTGTCAGTGATGACCAATAGATGGCAGCAAAGGATAAAGTTGGGCTTAGTCTGTGCTGCTGGTCCTTTCGGTCCCTAAGCACCACACAGCATGTCCACTCTAACCCACACATGCACAGAGGGCTAAATATTCCGGTTTTATTTTTCTGCTGCACCTGTACAAACTGCTGCTGTTATAAATGAAGGCTTTGTAAGCTCACTTAAACAAGTTCAAATCAAAGAGGAGCAGAATTGTTGTGGACTCACATGTCTGACAGGCCTGTCTTCGTGTAGAAACATGGGGCTGGAGGAGGGGAGCTCCAATGATGCGCTGGTTACCAGTTCCAGGATTTTAAACTTCAGCTGGAGAAAAACGACACATGCAGCTTTACAAACAACAGAAGTAAAGCAGACAGTAAAAGGGCAGATAGTGTTTACAGCTTAATACATATGTTGGGCATAAACTCACAGCATGTAACGTGTCTATTCTCAGGGCTCCAGTGATTACAACATTAATCTCTCTGGGGGGAGCCACATTGACCGTGCACTGGATTGGCAGAGTTAGTGTGTTGGATCGGTTCTGTGTAAAGAAACAACATAAGGTCCAAGAGACAATTTAAAAATGAAAATACTTGAGTATTTTCTTTTCCTTTACCAGGCGGGAGAAGCGGGAGAGATCCTCGGGTGAAGCTCTGCTCTGAGCGATATGCTGGGGCGGTAAACAGCGCGTCCCGTTCCTCTGAGGTGTGACATGAGAATAAAAATATCATTTAGTTCATTAAAGTCATCCATGATAGGTTTGTGCTTATATGAATAAAGATAAATATGTAAAAAATAATCAGTATGTAACGACATCATACCCAGTAAACTGTATAAAACAAGTTATAAGCAAAGAAACATCTTATTCATCATTGATGACGATGTGGTTCATCTAGCTAAAACAGAAATAATACCACAAGAGGACTCGAGAAAAATAAATAAATTAGATGTTCATTAGACTGCCAATAATACTGGAACACTCCATCAGATCAATGGATGAACATGTTTGGAGTGGATGAACTTGACTACTTTAAAAATGTCAATTTTTAAAGTAGTCAAGTCAAATCAATGAAGTCAAATAAGATTTTATGAGGTGAGCTGGACAGTCATTCCTGTCCTGAACTGAACCCATGAACACAACAACCCGGTTCCTGCCACACAATGGCAAGTCCTGTTTACAGTGTAAAAGACGATTCAGGATCCACAGTACACGACTTTACTAATGTCTAAACATGGTGCAAGAAGTTCAAAATCCAAACAAACCAAGAACATTACAACATATTACAATACTAAGAACTGGTAACCAAACCTATGTTTACAGTCTACCAACCATCAGCAATACAGATGCATGTGCTGTTAGTTAATAACACAAAAATAGATACATGTTAATAAGTGTGCTATTTACAAGATAATGCAGTCCAACAGTATTACCACCTTCTCAGTGGCCTTTGAGTGTCCAAACTGGGAATGGGAGATTGGGGTTAAAATACAGGGTTGGGTCATACCAAAGACATTAAAATGGGACCCAATGCCTCCCTGCAGACACTTGGATTTAAGGGGTTGGACTGGGGGGGGGGGGGGGGGGGGGGGGGGGTAAACCACCAAATTGTTCCCGAGCACAGCCACTGCTGAAGCTCCACGCTCCCCATGGGGATGGATTAAATGTGGAGATAACTAATGGGATTTAATTAGATTAAGATTATAGTAAAATGGCCTAAAGGGTTCCCTTATCATTCTTGGTGCACTTCATGTTTATGCCCGAGTTTTCTGCAAGGATGGTACAACTAACACAGGGAGGTTTTAGTGTAATATTTTATAGACAGAATATCGCTATAAGAAGCACATTTAAAATTGGTTTTGGCTTAAAAATAATTCAAATTTTGTTATAAATACCCCACCATCAGTTAAACTTAAGAGAAACTTCCAAGCTCCTAACTCACCTGATCTATATGGAAGTCAAATATCTGCAGAAGTTGGTTCCCATTTTGTGTCATTTCTGGAATCTCTATGCTCAACTGTAAATCTCCGACTGGAAAATATCCAAGGTTCTGGATCTGGGACACAAATGGTGTAAATTATTCCAGTGTTTTCCTTTATTAAGAACACGGAGAGGATGAAATGGGTTCTCACCTGGAAGGTGAAGTTGAAAGGGGGACCGATAACACCAGGCTCCTCCAGTGAGAGCTCTGACTTGATCTCATACCGGGTTGGATTTGAGTCCCTTTCAGAGTAAATCACACAAGTAAACACTAGAGTGGGACATATTCAGGTTTCCATTCCATCTCTAGTCTCTGGAACTCATCATCCCTTCAGTAACGGCTCATATTTCCCAAGTTTACAGCTACTGGGCTCACAACAAGCCCTCCAGCATTAGTCACTGTTTGGTAAGAAGCATAAAATTTGACAAACCTTGTAAAAAGAAGGTCTCCTTCGTATTTCAGTGAGTAATAGACATCGTTAAAGTTATCAGCAGAGTTCAGGTCCTCCCCATCACTGTCAAGAAGAGAGAAAATATTCAAAAAGAGGAAGAGTAGGAATGTCAGCTGCTGCTGTTGATGGAATGTCAAGTGTTTGTGGATGGCAAGAAGTTAAAATGAGGTTAAGAATAAAAATAAAGCTCTAACCTGCTGGCTTCTAATACAACTCTGAGATGGTCCAAGAAGACGACACGACTGAACTCAAACTCCAGACGAAAGGAAACCTATAGAAAAGATAAAAGTAAAGGTCAAATCCATCATATGAGTGAATTAATACAACATTTAAAAGTATTTTGCATTAGAACATACAGAAACCCCATCTATAAAAGCAATAGTATCTATGTACGGTATTCTTTCTGGTAGCAAAAACCCTGCAACACCCCACAATATAAATGATGCTAATAATAAAAACACTCAGAGGTCCTCCACAGGAAGGCTGATTTAAAGGTATTTAGGGAAAGCTGTTGTAATGAGAGAAAAATGGGTGAGGGGTGTGTGGATAATTGGAGTTTGATCATCAGCTACCAAATAAAGACAGAAGGTAGCAGAAGAGGAGGATTGACTGGCAACAGAGTGCACGTAAAAAAAGAGAAGAGCATTGTTTACAGTTCTCTGTCCCGTAATGAAATCCGGATGGATCCCGTCTGACCACAGAGGAATGCATAACGAGGTTATCGTAGCTTCCCTCCTCACAAGGAGGCAGACTTGTACTCAGCTAACCACAGATGCACGGCAATGGTGGCGACCTCCCTCTCTGCAACCAACTTCCAGGAGTGACTTAGAATAGATCATGTTTTTTTAAATGACTGCATAATATTTCTTCAGAAAATGTTAAATGAAACATGCAAAAGAATGTAAAAACAGTTTGTATGAGTTGGATGACATGAATTTCTGTGGGAAGAAAACGTTCGAGAGCCAGAATGTTCTTGAAATTCCGATTGTGAATCGTGTTTCTCTTTGTTCTCTCGGTCGTTTCAGTCTGACTGCTTCCAAACCAGAAAGCACGAATCCAGACCTTCAACAACATGATTGTCAAGCTGCTCCACAAATGAATTAGCTTGCTTTGGTCTGCTCTTTCTGAGATGATCTATTATCAGTCTCAAGATGACATTTATCACAGATCAGCAACTACGTTGTCCAGTAAGAACCAACCCAACCAAAATTACTGGTTTGGTTTGGATAGAAGCCCAAATTAGTCCAAAACTCCTCAAACTTGTATAAGAAGCCACAGAAACCGACTTTTTTAAAGTTTACAGAAATAAGTCCATAGTCACTCGTAATAATCGTCATTATTGGTACCCCTCATTTTGCCGTTGAGCTGATGAAGTTAAGTTTATCTTTGTTAAGTTAAAGCTACAGAAATTACTTGATTTTAGGTTCAAACGCAAACCTGCCCTGAATTTTCTCCTTTTCCTTCAGATGAGGAGTGTTTGGGCAGGTTTGGCAGTGACTATGGTGAGCAGTCGACCTAACGTGCCACATGTTGACCAGGCACAGTTGAGTCTTGTGGCTCTGGATGCTGCTCAGACTGAATTAGGGGGTATGAATCGCTCTGAGATTATGAGGAGGACCGGCCTGGTTGCTGCAGAGCATTACAGAGAAATGCAGGATGTTTTGTTGCCCAGGAGATGAGCATTGTTTTTGATAATTATATGGTGAAAATAATTCACGAACCCGTTCAGCTCGTTTCTTTATTTTGAGACTACTTGACAGATAACTTTGCATAAGAGCAAGACAGAAAATTGTCAAGACGACTGGAAACTTGTCTTACTCATAAAACAAAAAGTGCAATGGCTTTTATTTGCAAGCTGTGATCTATGACTAGTGTCATCTCTGTAAAGGTTTATTTAAACATCACCTTCTCAGAAATAAACCACTGCGTATTCTCTTAGAAGACACTGGAAAGCACAGAGTCCCATAAATATTGTTGACATTACAAGCCTGTGGAGAGGCTTAGGACCAGCAGAAGTGAATGTGAGAATAAGAAACAGATGAGAGAAAAGTACATTGGTATTTTTCTCTCAGTCTCACCTGATGCATCAGCGATAAAGAGAAGAGGAACGTTATCCAGTTCTGTTTGTATCTGACTACCTAATAGTTCAAATACAAGAAATCCTATGTTTAATATCTTTTTATGAAAAAAATGTAAGAGTTGTCTTAACTCATGTTTACTGAACAAATAATAACTAAAGTACTTTAAATTACAAAGAGGTCTCTCACTAAGCTCAAGGAAGCAAACACAGAGGTCAGCTAAAAAAAGTTCAGAAACTTTAATTTCAATAATCTCTCCCCTATGATTATATACTAGTTTGTGCTGCCAGGTGTGCTCCAGTCACAGGTGTATGACTGGCACCTGACTGGCAGCTACCCGAAGTTTAAAGTCTGTGAGAAACAATCTGGATCCAGGGGCCATCTTTCATCCCCGGGCTCGGAGACCCGACTCCATGTCCTATAGCAGGAATAGGACGAGTGCTGCTATCCAGCATGTTTTCAAGGCTCAAAGTTACTTTGTGTTTTACTTTAATTCTCCTTTTACATACCAACAGCACAGCACAACACAACATTAGCACAGCAGTAGCAAAAGCAAAAACAGAAATGAGCAAAGGCAACAGCAGTACCCAACGTTGAGGTGCTCATGTCCAGTGTCATAAAACAAGAGATTACTGTATTATTAATAAAGTACATTCAGTTTAAACATAAGTAACGAGTCTTAATCAGAATCACAAATGTGTTTTAGTCTCACATTAGCTTTGGTGGAAAGGTGCAAACACACAAGTGAAGCAAGGGAAAAATGGGATGCATCAAAAAAGAATGTAGGGGAGTAGGGAAATCCAGGACTGCCTACCTATGTCCTACAGAATAACAGCACGTCCACGCACAGACAGGATGGGAAAGTGGATGGGACAGCCTGGCCTGTCCAGAGCTCAACCTGCTCCAGGATTGTGGGATGGGTTTTGAGCCTGCTATATATGCTAGTGACCTACACCATCACACTGGTTGAACTTCAACAACGTCTGGCTGAGGGATGAGATGTTGTTCCACAGGAAAATGAGGCCAGACTGATGACCAGTATGAGGAGGAGGAGCAAAGCTATTGCAGCTGAATATTGATTTTCCACATGCTACTGAGGCCACTGATACTGTAAAAGTAAAGAAAATTCCTAAAAGGTTCCTTATTACTGAAAGAGTAAAATCACGTATTCAATAAAGTAATCCTAAACGAAAGGGGATAATATTGCAGGGTGGAGCTGCCCACATGTGTAGTTATTTTCCTCATTCCAAAGATTCAATATTTTCTAAAGTTGTCCTAAAAGATCCACTTTACTCATATTTTAAAACATTTGCAGTGGTCTCTAGAAGGATTGAATGCCTTGTAACTTGTACTTGAGGGGCGCTCAGGTGTGCCTGTTTCAGGAACTAGAAGTGAGCCAAATAAGAGTTGAGCTGAACTCGGTAGGATTTAGAGTTTATTTTCTGAAATGTGGATGTCTCGGCTCTGACTGGCTAACAGCAAAACAACTCTACCACTGACTCGGTTTGCTTTGCTAGGGTGACCATTCATCCTCTTTCTCCTGGACATGTCCACTTTTCACTCTCTGTCCGGGACTCCGATGGGGTTTCCTACATTGATCTAAATGTCCGGTTTTTCATCCAGGAGCAGGGATTGAGTTATGGGGGGCTAGATATCTTTCAGGGAAAGATCCAGTTTCTACCTATATTACAATATTTATGGACTCTCAGCGAGGCAGGATTCTGTTGAGCGGAGAGAACGCAGAGCGCTGATCGTTGGGACAATACATTCTCAAGGTGACGCAACAAAACATTATTATTAACACGTGATCATTCATATCTGTTTAAATCCTCTGGTATTCTGTCTTTTAATCGTTCCTGACACGCTCCGCTTGTCATGTGCTGTGGTGATTTCACCTCACTGATGCAGCATCGAAACGCTCACTCCGCTTTACGGTCAGGAGATCCCTTTGATCTGCATAGTTCAAAAGTAACTGATGAGGTGAAAAAGTAAGAATCCGGGCAGCAGATTTTCTGGGGAATTTAGAGGAGATGCAGGAAGATGAGACACAGACAGGACAGGAAAATAGTTAAATAAAAACAAGAAAACAAAGCTTGAAAGTAAAATGTAGGTAGATTTATCTCCACTACACGTTTTTACCTGAATAAAACAATAAGTTACACACATGTAATAATTATACATTTGATACAATTCCGATCACCTTCAAAACTCAGTCACACACCCAGGGCCGTTTCAAGACATTTTGGGGGCCAAGGCAAAACAGAAGAAGGCCTGAAGGAGCTCATCCATGTTGTGGTGTTGTTAATACTAATGGTTGGCTTCTACAAGTCGAGACGTTCTCTGCTGTTTCTTCAATGCCAAAGCAACACCAGCCTTTTCCATCATGGGTCAAGATGGGTGGGTTCATGAATGTCAGCAGTGTGACGTAGATCTGTCAGGCTTTTCAAATCCTAGCATTTCACTATCTATTTTCTATCAGAAGCTAATGCAGGAAATGAGGGTAAAAGGCTATTTTCATGTTAGCCATGCATGACAATATTAAAGAGACCGATTATAATCATATAATCTTTCCAAGATCCTAGTTCTGGTCTATAGGGCCTTACATGGACAAGCACCATCATACATTGGTTATCTTCTTAGTCCCTACACCCCCAGCAGGTCCCTGAGGTCCAGTGATCAAAGCCTACTGGTTGCGCAGCACCAGGCTAAATACCAAAGGTGACAGATTATTTGCTGCTGTGGCCCCCAGACTCTGGAATTCTCTCCCCCTGAGCCTGAGATCAGTGGACTCAGTGGTCTCCTTTAAAAAGCAGCTGAAAACTCTGCATTTTTGCTTCTTTTTAAAACACAGAAAAGTTTAATTTTTTTGTTTAGCTTGCTGACAGTTTTGTTTGCTGACTGCAAAACTTCTCCAGAGCTGACGCTGATGGTGGCGTCACTTTCTTCTCTGTTTATCCGCGGGCAGCAGACGACGTTGTCGCCCTCTGCTGCCCGCTCTTCCCTCACCAATGACACAGTCCCATGCATGATCCAATGTGTAAAACCCATCGTCTCTGATCATGGTCCCACATCCAGATCTCCTCATCTCTATGGCTTCCTTTATCCCTCTTTGGTATTTCTGTTGTTCGGTGTTTATGTTCCTTGTGTTGTCCCAGTCCATTACATAGTTTTCTCTTATGCAGTGATCTGTTACGGCCGATTTCTTTGTTGTGCTTTCTGATTCTTGTTTGGCTGCTCTTGTGTGTTTTCGACTTGCCTCTTTCTCGCACTCCTTTCTATGTTCTATTGTTCGTGTGTTGAGTTGGCGTCCGGTTTCTCCTATGTATGTTTTACTGCAGAGTTTGCATGGGATTTCATAAACGACTCCACATTGAAGTCCAGCTGATATTTTGTCTTTTGGGTGCACTAGTCTATTTCTAACTGTTGTGTATGGTTTTGTTGGCGTGTTTATGTTGTGTTTTTTCATTGTTGCTTTTATTTTTTATGTTATGCGTTTGATGTATGGAAGAGTTATCTCTGGTTTTGGTTCTTATCTTTCTGGGTTTCTGGTTCTTTGTTCTGGTTGTTCTTTTCTTTCTGTTGTTGTTTGTTGTTTTCCTTTGTTTGTTGCCCATGTTGGGTATCTGCAGGTCTTTAAAGCGTTTTGCATGTGTTTGTCCTCTTGTTTACGGTTTCTTTCTTCAGTTATTATGTTTGCTCAGTGGTATAATGTTCTGATAACTGACATTTTGTGTATGGTAGGGTGTTCTTCTCAGGCCCTGTCCACACGTAGCCGGGGATCTGCCAAAACGTAGATATTTTTCTGCGTTTTGGCCTGTCATCCACACGAAAACGGATCTTTTTAAAAACTCCGGCCAAAGTGAAGATCTCCGTTTTCTCCGTTTTAGGTGTCTGCGTGTGGACAGACAAAACCGGAGTTTTAAGGTCCGCAACGTCACTTTCCGCGACAAAAAAATGCTGACATCACTTGTGCGACCTGTGTTTACACTAGCCGACAGCATGGATGCCCTCAGAGCTGCGCTCGCTTTATCAATTGTCCAAGCGCTTTTTGCTTGTTTGTTTTTGCAAGCGGAATTACTGCTCCTTGCGGAAGACCACAGACGAAGGACGAGGTTAAGAACGGGAGAAGTACTGCCGCCTACAGGTCTGGCATGTCCTTAACAACGTATTTATCCGGGTACGTGTGGACAGAGTTTTTCTTTAAAACGAGGTGGTGTGGATGCAAGTTTTTGGAGGGGCGGATATTCGTTTTTTAAAAAACCCGGCTACGTGTGGACTAGGCCTCAGTAAGAGCATACCAAAGCTGAAAACTCACCTAATCAGGCTGGCTCCTTCACCACCCTCTCCTTGTTCTGCTCTTATTCCGTCTTTCCCAGGATTACTGATTTCCCTCTTTCCTAGTAATTTTCTCTCTCTCCCTTTCCTCACATTTTTAATCACTTTTTTTTCTTATTTTAAACAGAATAAAAAAACATATTTAATCTTTTTTATATAATAATTTTTTTTGTTTTGGTGAAGCATCTCATGATTTTCATTTAGAGAGGTGCTATAAAAATATTGTTTTCTTTCTGTTTTTACATGAAATATGAGTGATGATATTGGAGATTGTCAGTATGAAGATGGCTAAACTTCATGCACAGTTAAAAACACAGTCTTGTACACATCTTCTGTAATAAACAGGCGCCTCACAGCGGAAGGACAACAGAGGGAAGGCCTGGCGGCTTTCTGATCACTTACACAGCTTTCATTGTACAAACACAACAGTCAGAGCTCTCCTTCCTGTTTTGGACATCCTGCATGTTTTTCTTTCATTAGTTATTTAATGGAAAAGCAGCACAAAGTTCCAAGCAAGACCACGGGTTAACCCACTAAATTTGTAATTGTTAAATGGTTCAGTTATTTTTTTTATTCTAACAACATATTTCAATATCAGATTAAAAGATGACTGCAGTGATCTCACCTGTGTTCTGGCCCGCATGAATGGTGCACTGACATTGCAGATTCTTCTATTCCTCATCTTGTCCACTGTGTTGCAATCTATTTTTATATCATATGTGTCCTGAAGAAAAAAACAGGCACAGACTCGTCTGTCTCAGCACTGGTTGAACACATGCACTCTTTGTCTCAGTCTCAGAACAAATAATCAGCAGAGTTTTACGAGGACGTTCTCAGGAGTTGAATGAATGGTTTTGGAGGAAGGTAACGTACTTTGATCACGAGGCTGGAGAAGCGTAGATTGGGTGTGCAGGAGATGTTGAGTAGAGCATTGTAGGCATTTTCCCCTTTGTTCTCTAGTTTGACGTCCACCAGCATCCTTCTTGTGTTTCCCTCAAGCACCCGAAACGACCCCTCTGTCCCTCCTTCACTTTGATGACGGCAGAAGGAACCTCGAGACCGTACAGGGTGTGCACAGAACCGACTGGAAAACAGTGATGAAGAAAAAAAGATTACTTACTGAAGAAAAGTAAGGATCAAAGGTCTGGTCCTTTATGTGGTAAATGTGTGAATACCTTCGAGTCATCAGGTCAGTCGTAGACTGCAGTGACAGGTCCGACATGCAACGGTCGTCCTCATCACAGCCATTCCAGAAGGGCAGCTGGTCACAGACAGAAACTTTTAATGTACTGATACAAAATATCAATAACTTAAAATCAGAGCTATTTTCACCTCAGTCTTCACCACATCAGGCCAGCTGTCATCCAGAACTGGCTCCTGATCTGGATCTTGAAGCGCCACTTGCACAGCGAACACTATGGGCCTTGCATAGTCTGTGGTCTCCTGTAATAAAACATTGTGTTCAAAGATTAGCAAGTAGATTTAATCTGTTTTGTCACTTTCTCATAAAATGTGAGCCTACACTTGTTCTTTAATGAAATCTGCAGTGGTCTCTAGTATGAATGAATGACTTGTGACTTGTTCTCTGTGAAGAAAGCTCTGGCATGCCTGTTTCAGGAAGTAGACGTTAGCTGGAGGAGTGGGGGCAGAAAACACCAGGTCTTACTTCACATCAATTCTGATTGCTACGCAGCTGAACAGGACACGGTAAAAAATAAATAAAAAGATTTGAATTCTTACTCATTAATATTCATGATATTCAGACATCTTGCCTCTGATTGGCTAAAGTAACGTGACTCTTCCACCGCTTCCATTTGCTCTGCAACATTGATATTTCATCTCCTCAAATAAGGCAAGTCTGAAGAAGTTCTGCCATGTTGTGGAGTTTCTAATGCCAACAGTTCGCTTCTAAAAGTGGCAGATGAGTTAAGTGCCCCAACCAGAAGGTTGCAGGTTCAAGTCCCGTTCAGTCTGTTGCCATCATTGGGCAAGACCCCTGACTGGTATTGTTGCTGGTGGTGATTGGAAGGCTGATGCAGCCATCGCTTCAGTCATTTGCACGGCACAATCTGTGTGAATGACTGTTGTGTTGTAGAATGCCTTGGGTGGTTGTAGAACCCTAGAAGTTGCTTTATAAATGCGGGCCATTTGTACTTGACAAGATGAGGTCTGCTCTCTCCTTAGCTCTTTTTAGAAGACACACCATGCCAACAAATCAGCGTAATACTGCCGCCACATTGTGTCTCATGAACATAATGTGGCATTACAGCATTGTGGGAATTTTGTGGCATTCGTGCTGCCGTAAGTTTTGTTTTGTAAACAGAATCAGCTGAGATGATAAACTGGAGCAATGCAGAGAGTAATCTTTTGTAAAAAGGGCACGATTGCACCACATTATTGCCATGGACAAACCACTTATAAACAACCTAAAGCACCCTGGTACCGGCTCAGAGTTGCGTCAAATTTGCGGCTTTGTTTTCTAAAAGAGGCTGCTGATAGCCTTCCCCTGTCATGAGCCAAGATGGGCGAGTCCGTAAATGCAAATGTACTCAGATGTAGATAGGTGTGGCTTTTTCTGACCCGAGCATCTCCCCGTCTATCAGCAGCTGATGCAGGAAGTAGGGGTAGAAGTCTGTTTTCATAATCAGCTTGCACGTTAAACTCAGAGTCGCCGATCGTAGTTCAGAAATTAAAAAAACTGTTCATCAGTGAACTGACCTTTAACCTTTTATATAAACTAAAGCAAAAACCATTCAAAATACATTCTAGTCTTATTTTATTGCAACAGTGCGTGATGGATAAAATCATCAACTACAAACATAACTTCAGCATCCCCTCACCATGACATGGAAATAGATGTGTTCACAGAACTCCTCCCCAGGAAGGAGGGTCAGGTTTTGAGGCTGCAGCTTGAGTGGATGATCCAGTAAAGCTCGAGGATTGAAACGTCTCTCCAAAATGGAGACATTGTATTTGATCCCTGTTGGGGCAGCAGAAAGATTACTAATGAACACGTCCATGTTAAATAATATTCCAATCCCCAGTTCTCACAACACCTTCGTAAATGAGATCCAGTCATCTTACATAGAGACCAAGGCAGCATTGGGGATTTGAGTAGCAAACTAGGATACATGAATTAATATGTCAATACATTTAAGAGCTCGTTAAAACAATTTATGTTGTTGAAGATAAAAAGCTCTTTGAATAAGCAAGAACAACATCTGGAAAGTCCAGCTGTCTTTCTGAACAGCCATAGAATAAACCCGTCCTGGACTTCTCAGCCCCTACACAACATGATGCAACGTTCTCTTGACTCCAAACATATGTTGGATGTATGAGATTATCGTAAAGAAGAATCTAAACCCTGCAGCTTTAAGGAAACCCCTTTAGAAGCCATGCTGCTTTAAACTTTATGCACTTACAGCCTTAAGCTGCCGTGACAGGAATAATGTACGAGTTATGTTTGGGGTGAACAAAGGAATTAGAAAATTGCACGAACAGTTCTGCAAACAGATGAAACTAACTGGTAGGTTTTCTATTCCTACCATAACATAAGCATCACCATCTTCAACATGTTTATGTTCTTTTTCATATTTAGGCTCCAACTGTGGATAAAGAGCAGAGATAATCAATCCTAGTCCTGGAGATCCCTGCTCCAACACACCTGATTCAATGGCTGAACTACCGGTTCACCAGGCGCTGCAGAAGCCTGTTAATCAACTACTGATTCAAATCGGGGTGTTGAAGCAGCAACTACTGATACACGCTTAATAGCATGACCAGGATTGTTTATCCCCAATATTATGGAAAAGATGAAAAAAGTATTATCAGAAAAATACCTCACACCCTACGCAAAGCAAGAAAAGGTAACTGCTTGAATGTTTCTGTTTCAGGTACTTAATAGAACTTTTATAGGCAGATTATTTATATAATGAGATTAACTTAATAGAGACAGAAGTCCACAGCAGTTTCCCCATCTCCAACACATCTGTCCTGCATTACGAGTAAGGAAAATCAAATAAATGAGTTCCACGGTATCCGATCATACAGCTCCTTCTTGTCTTCCCCTGTCTTGTTTTGGCACAGATAATAGATCCGATAAAGATGTGGGAGAGTCAGAAGGTTAACTTAGAATACACTCTCCTGATACACAGCTTTTAAAACAAAGTGTAAGCAGACGAGCCTCCATGTGGATCACCTTTGGTGACACAGAACCCTAGTAGGCCTGATTTGCCCCTGAGCTGTCATCACTACCAACAACACGTTCAAGTATTTCATTTTCGTTTCATTTATTCATTTATAGAGCACCTTCCACAACCCTTAGCAGAAGCCCAAGGTGCTGAACTCAACAACAAAAATCAATAACATTTATAAAGATAAAAGATAAACAGACAATAAAATTGGCATAAAAACAGATAAAAGAGAAAAACAAGGGAAAGTTGCAGACCCCAGTGCATCTCCTTCTTGAAAAGACAGAATAATACGGATGTGACTTTTACAGGCTAAAAGGAACATTTAATAGCTGCAACATTGTGCTGATCTACCAGTTTTCAAGGCTGCAGCACTGGCTTTGGCCGAGAACAAGAAGTGAGATCAGAATCTCTTGCTGTTAATAAAGAGACTTTTTTCTTTGGCGCCACATTGAATGAAAGAAGCAATCAAAGTTTTACAGGCAGCTGCATGCTCAAATGCTTTGGAGAACTCATAGGAAATACATTTTGATGGGGATGAATGTCTTTTTTCCTTTGAAACACTTTTGTTATGTCATGCACAGCTAACTCAAACTGTGTTGCTGCTCGCGATCCTAAAGAAAGCAGCAGTTTTCAGTCATTAAAAAAACATGGTCAGCCTCATCTTTAGGTCTGTAAAATATGCAAAAACATTCCTCTTCACTAGTTTGAGCACATGGGTAAAGACTAGGAAACTCGGAGTGTGTCCACTGCAGCTGATTATTTATGCTGGCTTACCGATTTCCTGTGTGGGATGGATAGCTGTCCTGGCGGTGATGTTGAAACACACAATGGCCGACATGCAGGTCACGTCTTTGCCTCCTCTTTGACAGTCTTTCACAAAGATGTTGACCTTACTGGGCTCAAACCTGACGGTGGTGTAAATCCGCACAACACTCTTTGACCTGTGAGCACACACAAGTGAGACAGACAGAGCTGATCTGTGACAATTATACGAGAAAAAATGTTCTCTTCCCAATGCTAGTTAGTTCAAATGCAACAATGCATTAAAAACGTCAGCAGCAGGAGTAACCTCCTGTTTTATGACACGTCTATTATCGAATGGATACGGTACAAACCAGAGAAGAACAGCAGCACCAAGAGAACCCACTGCCAGGTCCACCAAACCATCACCATTCATATCCATTGTCCCATGAATACTGCGGCCAAAATACAGCAGGCCTGAAGCCAAATCTGCCGCTGCTATCCTCTAGAAAACAGAAACATGGTCAAGTTATGTCGGTTTTCCTTTACTTTAAGAATAAATAGGCTTGCAGTGCAAATATACTCTTAGGTTAATTGTTTCCAAAACCTGCACAAACGAAAAACTATGAATGTTTCTTTCAGTTGTTTTACAGCAATAACACTAAATATGCTTTTGCTACGCACCAGAAGGGAGAGGGTATTTTGTTTAACAGCTACATTTTTCATCAACACAGAAGAGAAAGAAGGTAGAAGACTTTAAGCTCTTAGGGTCTACGCTCCAAAGCAAAGGGAAGGGTGGAAAAAAGGTGAATACGCAGTTTAGAGTTGGTGAAGAAAAATGTCAGGTGTGATAAAAGGGTTTCAGCAGGAACCAAGGAAAAGATGTAGAAGACAACAGTAAGACAAGCACTGTTATCTGGTTTAGAGAAGGTTGTAGAGCTCAAGATGTTCAGGTTCTCTTTGGGAGTGACCAGGATGGACTAGATCAGGAAGGAGTCCCTCAGAGGGACAGCTCGTGTTAGGTGTTATGGAGATAAAGTGAGAGTGGACAGACTGAGGTGGTTTGGACATGTCCAGAGAAGAGACAATGATTACATAGGTAGAAGGATGCTGAGGATGGAGCCACCAGGCAGGAAACTGAGAGGAACACCAAAAAGGATGCGGTGAAGGAGGACATGAAGCTAGTTGATGTGAGAGTAGAAGATCCGAAAGATAGAACTAAACAGAGACAGATGATTGGCTGTGGAGACTCCTGAGGGGACAAGGTGAAAGAGAAAGAAGAAAAGATTATTTTATTATTATTACAATGTAGAATTTATTACATGGATGTCAATATACTGATTTAAATTGACTCTTAGTTTTTATTTCTGCCTTGGTAAAAAGAAAGGTTTACAAAATCACTTAAAAATGTAAGTGAATTAAAAAAGAAGTCACCAGCTGCAACATTACAAACTCATGTTTTAAAAAACAACGATCTAGAACTTTAAAACTGACTGAATCATGGATGTTTTCAGAAAGCAGAAGACAAATTTACACCTTTATTAAACCTACCTGTTTATATTTGCGCAGAATTCTGTTGGGCTGACTGAAGAACACATAAATGGCTCCTTTGTGGTCGTCCTCCAGTGGAGCTCCCACCACCAGGTCATTGAACCCATCACCATTCAGATCAGGGAGAGGCGCGAGGGACGAGCCGAAGCGAGCATTCTGGCCACCGTTATGAATTTCCAACGCTCCTTCAGGGATGAAACGATTCTGAAATGGAAATATGAAAACATCACAGACATGAGCCACCATCATTAAAATTAACTCCAGCACAAAATGCTGAACTTTTAGAGTTGCATGGTTGTATAGTAGTTTTTCTAAACAGATTCCTCTTCCCAATAAAGCTGAAATGTTTAAGTTTGATTAAGTGCAAGTCCTTGATCTAGTTAAATTTTAACCTACAAGTCGCTCTACTAAAGTCTAGGAAACACAAACTTTGTTGGGTCCTTCTAAAGTGCTTTAGAGACAGATTGAGCCTGTTTAAGATAGTTTAAGTCCTGTAAGACCTGATAAGAAGCCTCTAAGATCCGGGCTTTTCTGACACAAAATCCATCACAGTTGTAGGATAACATGAGATCTTTGGGAATCAGGAGGCTGACTCAACACCTCAGAGTCTTTTTGATGTTCCTTAAAAGATGAATGGAGAGTTTTTGGCTGTGTAGCAGGATGCACTGTGCAGCTAAATAAAGCCACTGTTGCCTTCAGAGGAGCTGTGAGCAGCCTAGAACAACATTTAGGCAGATGCTAGCAGGTCACGGTCAGAGTGGCTCCCTTCGGCTTGTGTTTTCCCAGCATGCATTTCAACGATATTTCCTCCCAAAGTAAACACGATCCATCAAACCAGACTACTGTCTTCAGTTGCTCTGTGGTCCAGTTCTGACACTTCCTCTCCCTCTGCCGGCGCTTTCATCTGTGGAAGTGATTCATACGAGCTCTCAGACACAACAAGCTCCTCTACACCTCTTTTAATACTTTATAATCTTAACCTCCAGCAGCTCGTCCATGTGACTCACAAGCATTTTCTTCCCTTGAAACAATGAGCCAGAGTTGTTTTGGATGTCTTTTAGAAACTAACCAACATGCAGAGAACCCAAATGAGATGAGGTTTCAGAAATAAACGTTTCCTAAAAATGTAGCATTTACATGTAACAATTTGAGCTACAATGAATCAAATCAAGTAAGTATCCTAATCTTCATGGAGTATTGGTGAATCTCAGTGCCAAAGGGTAATAAAGTTTTACAAAAACACTCAGTTTGGTACAAAAACGGAACTGAATGTTTAAACCAGCTTTTTAACAGTACTCAAAGAAAGTTCTTCTTTAGCTTACCCCATTTAATGAAGACATCTATGTCCTTTGGTATTGTCCAACGACTCAGCAGATTGGTTGCCCTCTGTGACAATCTCCATCCATCTATTTATAGGCAACATAACCAAAAATCCTATTTTGCATCATTCTGTGCTACTGTGTGATATTTGTGATGTCACAAAATGGGGAAATTACACTAAAACAACCTCTCATGTATAGAGAGATCTGCTGCTGGAGGAACAGCAGCTCCGCTCTGAGCCCCTCCCAGTTATCGGATCTTCTCTGGTGAATGCAGGCTGAGTGGGCGTGGCCAGCTCCAGCTTGTTTTTTTAAAGTGACAGAGCCCTGAAAAAGCTCATTCTGGAGGGTATTGAAAATGTCAAGAATCAATCTGCTGAAGTAGCTTTTTGTGAGAGGACTTTAGTGCCAATAACTTCATAAACATGTTTTGTATTTGTTTCCCATTGGAGTTAGTTGTAAGTCAAAGTTATAGATCTAAAGGATCTTACTCCATTTATATTTATAATGCTGTGGGGTGGTAGTTTATGGGATTTGTGTCAGTTTATTTTATTTTGCAAAGTGCACTGTGTACGTAAAGATTCTAGACTTGTGGATACAAATAAAGGGAAAAAAAGAAAAGTCCATAAATCATATTTTTAAAATTTTCTCTGATCAAAAGATTAATGTTAATTTTTTCCACTTTTATTATGTCCCCTTCTTTGAACTCCATCATCTGAGACTAAACATGAAGGTATTTGCCCTCCAGTCTGCAAAAGAACTAAAAACGCTGTTTAGCTAAGTGTATTAGAAGTTCTATTCTTAGTGAGTGCCAAGTGGAAGATAGCTGTGTCTTTAAAAACAGCCACAGAAACGAGTCCTTCACTCATCAGGAATACTATTGATCTGTCAGGTTAAGAGCAGGAGGAGTAGGACCCAAGATGCAGAGCACCAGACGACATGAACCAGGTGTAATTGAAAAAAAAAAAGGGTAGAATCCATTATGTGGGAAATAATCCAAAAATCACGGACAGGAAGCCAGGCAAGGTATCAGGAACAAACGAAAGATACAGAGGGTCACTAACTGAGCAGGAATTTCAGGTTTACACAGGGTAAACAAAACACGCCAACAACAATGAACCGATAAACACTGAGGGACAAGACAGGACTTTTAAACACAGAAAAAGGTAATCAGGGGAACAGGTAACAGGTGTGAAGAGTGAGATTCTGGAGGGAAGGCAGGTGCATTCAATAAACTAAATGGGGGGAAAAGAACTGAGCAGGAGGGAAGATAAACATCAGCCTATAAAACACGGAGTGACTAAACCTAAAGACTAAGGGCAAATATAAACAATAACTACAGGGATGAGGACTAATATAAAAATAGGAATTACCAAGGAGAGACTAGAAGGAAACCTGAGGGAAGCCTAGAGAAAGCTGAGGATGATAATGAGACACAAGAGGAGAACCTGGAGTGAGAACAGGAGGGGGCTGGGGACCAGAGGGACACAGAACATGACATGACAGTTTGATTGCAATTTCATTGTGATCTAGCCGAATTGGATCAGATCATTTCGATTAACATGTTTACATGCAGATTTTTTTTTATCTGATTGGGCATTTAATCCGATTAATTGTGTGCATGTAGCCATGGCTATTGTGTAGTTTCTACAAGCCCCCACAGTGCAGCTCTAGAATTGAGGCAAACCCGGACATGAAATAAATTGCAGTTCCACCCTCATCCGCTGGGGGCTGGGGTCAGAAGCGAGTAAGTCCTCATTGACTCCCATGTTAAAAATGCCAATTTCACAGCAGAAATAAACATGTTTACAGCCTGGTACCAAAACATGTTTTTGTCTAAGTAATCTAGTTTATACTCAGGACAACTCTGAGGGGGGTGAATTTTTTCTCACTCTTCTGTTTAAGTGTATTAAAAGCCTAAAATTCTATATAATTAATGAGCATCCGACCCACGTGACCACGGAGCTTGCTCTGTGGAAAGGCCTCAGTCAAGCCTCGGTCTGGCCTGGAAACTGTTCCGGCATTTTGAGTGTCTGTGTTTGTGTATTCTTGTTTGGATGTCTGTTGTGCAATTGTTGGACAAAATGACTTGCTGTGGCATTAATTGCACTAATAGAGCGTCCAAGGGGTCTCCACTTCATTATTTTCGGTAAGTAAAATTATATTTATGTATTTTAGGTCATTGCCGAGCTGAGCTTAGATTTTAACATGTACTGTTTAACCATGAAATTTAAATGTAATAGGGTAAACCCCAGTGCATTTAACATAATGCTGCACTTTAGAAAATGGGTTGAAATATAACATGTTGGTGGAGCTGGGTTCCGACTATCGGCTTGTGGAGCTCTCGGGAGACCGATGTTTTCCACCCGGTTCTCCCCTTCCCGCAGCCTGGCGCATCTCTGTCTGATTGCGGCTTCTGTGTGCTGCGCGGGCTGACGGCTTGTGGAGCTCTGGGGATGGAAACCCTTCCACCCGTTCTGCCCAGCGGCAGCTCTGCGCATCTCAGATCGCAGTGGCGCTTGTCTACTGTGTGGCTGCCGGCTTGTGGAGGTCTCGGAGACCTCTGTGTTCCACCCGGTTTTACCCAGCGGTCAGCCCGTCGTATCTCTGACTCAGAAGCTCTGGTGTTGTGCACAGTTAACTCCGGTTGTACCTAGGTTGCTACCTCCGTTAGCTTAGCTCCCACCTCCGCATTAGCTTTGGGTTAGCCAGGGTTAGCTTCAGGTTAGCTTGTAGCTAGTTCGACCGGGTGTCGTCAGTTGATCCCAGCCTTACAGCCCCACCCTCAGCTCCTCCTCTCTTCCCTTTTTTGGAATTGTCTGGGCTTGACGGAACCTGTGACACGGTCAAAATGGCGGTGGTGGCCACCTCCCATTTGGCCTCAAAAACGTGATATTGGAGCCTATGGAAATGAATTGTCCAGTATATTTATGTCGACGAGTTTCTACCTCTAATCTGTGGAAAAATCTATGGAAATGTTGCTAAAAATGAAGTAAATGATGCCCAGCTGTTGAAAAATATGGGTGGCTTTGTAACTTATAACCAACAAAATCAGGTCTAAAATACATGGGAGCGGGTCTAAGGGTGTTTCTCAATGCCAAGGACCCTTGCCTTGATGGCCCCGCCCCGGTTGCTTAGGAGACACGTCATCGGGAGCTGCCAAGACGTGCTCCTGTCGGTTCCAATGTTCATGTTCTACCGAGGCGTGTGTTCTCTGTTTGTTAGCCGTTTAGCTAGCTGAGCAAGGATACACGGGAGGTGTCTTGTAGCCTAGCTTTGGTCAAAAATTACCCAGAATATACCGCAGTATTTTCAAAAAGACGGCGGATCAGAAGCCGGCAGTTACTTCGGGGACAAATTTCAAGCTTAAAAGTAAGTCAACTAATTTAAAATGTTTTTTTAATCCAAATAAGTTATCTATTGTTGGTTGTGTTGTCTCATTACACCAGACCCATTCATCACTTACAGTTAGAGTTAGTCTTGTTTAAAATTGTTTAAATTGTTAGAAAAAAATCTTCTTAAATGTTTTAAAGGTGACTCTCTCTTCTCTTGTCTCTCAGTTAATACAAAGTGTTACATAATCAATGCAATAAAAAGTTCCAATCTTCTGGTTAAAATAACCCAATTGTCCGTAAGGTTGATTTCATATTTACTATGGAATCTTACGTCTTACGGGTCCTTAATTAGATGTAAATTAACTTCTTTTACACTATCAGCATTATTTTAATTAGTGTGTGAGCGTTTGTGTGTGTGTGTGTGTGTGTGTGTGTGTGTGTTTTCCACTTCAAACACTGGTCTAACCAACCAGACCAGCATGTCCAGTAACATATTAATGTTACAATTAAACAATTTCCCTTCATGTAGGCTAGGAACATTTCACCTGCCGTGGCCCGACCGCTTCTGCTCCACATGAACTTTGTGCGTGATCAAATGTCTCTACAGGTGCTCTCTGAGCTGAAGAGACTATTCTGCCTCAGACTCTATGGGTCATGCGTCTCCATATTAGAGACAAGAAAAAGCGCTATTCAGCCGAAGTTTCATAATCAGCAAACATTTTTCCAAGTGACACATCCCTCAGAGAGACTGGGTTTCCAGACCGTTTCAGTGGGAGGAAATCTTACCGCATGCGCCGTGATTCTGCACTGCGCTGCGAACCCCTCTACAGATCTTCAGCTCACTGTCCACCGTTTGCGCTCCGAGCCGTGCTGAACACAGTGTCCAGTATAAAGCTCTGATGTTCTGATGAGAATCATTTCTTGATTGATTTAGTTACCTCCGTGATGTGCGTAACAATTAAAATGTCAGCTCATCTGTGTGTGCATCAGTGTGCGTTGGGGTAATTCTTTCAAAACAACCAACATCCTTGAGTTTATCCGTCAAAATAAACAGTCAAATGGAAATATTTGTAACCTGCCATTTAACTGTTTTGCCTTCTTGTGAAGATTGTTGCAAAGAGGAACAATTAAACTTGATTAATCCCAGAGCCATGCACACTGCGCTGTACTGACTGTAAATGAGGGGGAAACGATTTAATCGGATCCTTTTCTTTTCAACATGGTTTAATGTAAAGTTTCATTCAGTACAAACTTTAGTTACACCAATCTAACGAGACAGAGCCTGGATTTGTATTCTGAACAGTTTAAACATGTTTAAAACGGAGACATGTGTGACGCGTCTAAAATCCGTACGTGGCCCGCTATAATGGAAATTAAACCAACAAGATGAATAACATCAAATTATTTTAGGCACAGACAACATCCCCCACACTTTTGAAAATCTTGCAATGCACCTGTCTACTTTCCCCCATTGCCAGGAAAAATACACACTGTCACTTTAAAATTAAGCAGATAAATGTTGCTTTTGACAACATTTGTTTCTTTTATATTTACTCTTTATTCTTTACTTCAAAATTAGAGTCTGTTAAAATTATTCAAAACAAAAATAAAGGAGTTTTACAATCCTAATTTTCACCATAAAACTATGAAAAACAGCATAAGATTTAAAAAAAACAAAGAAAAAGCAGATGAGCATTGAACATCTACTTCCTTCATAAAGGAAAAAAATATCCTCATTATTTTCCTCATATTGCTAGTGTGTTTTCACAGCAGATACGGTCCAACGATAAAAAATTATATACAGTTTTTACGGTAAAGCCAGGGCACATCTTAACCACAGGGATGCAGTTCAGGTATTTTTCTAAAACCACATCAGTGAGCAGCGTCCTCAGCACCACCTGAATCATTAATAACCCCAAACATGTGGCCTTTCTGCCCAGCTGATGACACATTTTGTTACAGAGTGATTTGTTTGTGTTTTGTTTTTAAGGCTGCCACCTGTGATGTGGTTTTGGCTGCAGCAGGCTTATAAATACCTCATCCATGCCTGCTTGTTGGATTCAAAGCAGCTGAGGACATTCATTACCCCAAAGACCCAGACAGACCTGGAACCTGGAACTTTCCCTCGATTAACGACGGCTCTTTTCTCCAAAGCGTTGCCTGGAGCTGGTCTAGATCAGGCAGAATACTTTCCTCCTGAGTTCATTATGCACATCCAATAAAGTTTGCACACTGGCATGGCAGAGTGCCTTCATTTCGTCTGCTCATAAATCCTATAAAAGGTCACCCTATTAACTGTCAACAGGACACTTGTGATCATATGTGTTTGAAGTTTAACTTTAAACGTTTGTAGCAGGTGATGACCCAGTTTAGCTGACTTAAGCCTGAATGTAAGCAACCACTCTGCATCAAGGTGTTTCTACCTACCAGTTCAGTTATTCTGTAGATGTAGACCTTTCCTTTCTCCAAGCCTGCACTGAAGAACATCGGCGCTGCCACCAAAAGGTTGTCAGTTATACCATCTCCATCAATATCCAAAGGTGCAATCTCACTGCCGTAGTAGGAGCCGATCTGAGAAAACACACAAACTATCAAATCATAGAAGACGTCCAACTAGATCATTACTGAGCTGAAAGGAAAAGTGCTTCTCAATGATCAGTTTAATTTGAAACAAATGCCATTCTGAGCCCCAAAGACTGATCTCTTTCCCGTTTGTCTGCTGAACCACAACTTGATGATTTATCAATAAATCTCAGAAGCTTTTGAAGGGAAATATTGTGAGTAGCAGTCTGAGTTGAGCCAAAACAAGTGGTCGATCTTGATGCTTTCTTTGTTCATTCTCAAGCTTTACCAAGTCACTAGAGGGAACGGAACATCATCAGTTGATCTTGGTTAGATCTGAAAAATCTGTCAATAAAATAAAAAGAAAAGCTTTTTGACTAGCATCAAGGGTTGTTGGCAGAAAACAAAAGATTTGCTGATTTTTTATGAGTTGCTGTTGATGAGGTATTTTGCAAAGACCTGTGAAAACATTGTGAGGATCGCAACCATTGAAACTATCAACTTAGTTCCTCAAAAAAGAAGTCAACCAATTATAAATTGAAGGATTTAACACCCAGACCTGATCTCCCTGTTCCTCATAACTTAACCCAACACTGATCGACACCACCATCAAGTTCTACGTGTTTTTGTCATTTTCTCTGCAGATAAAACATAAACATGTGTTTGAGATTTAAATCCAAAACGAAATTTCCTTCTGGCTATTGTCCTTTCATAGACTGAGAGAAACACTACATGTGAGTACCGTGTCACCTCCTGCTCTTTATCCCTGTAACGTACTTATGCCAAGGGCTAAGGATGTCCAGATTATGTTTATGATGCAGGGGTAAGAGTCAGGTGACTGGACTGGAAGATATGTTATTCCCCACTTTAATTTAGTCATTTCCTTATCCCCTTTAAAAGATTAAACCTGGAAAAACATACAATTCAAATGTGAACCTAAGTATACTGAAAATACTCCTTGGTCCACTCAGGAGCAATCCTCCTCATCCATTCTGGTGTCCAACAGCGGGACTGGCCTGCTTTACATTTCGTTGCTTTAAAGGCACACTATGCAGGTTTGCTTGCTTTAAGCACCCCTAACAAGTGTCCGTTATTAATTCTCTGTGATCACACCAAAAGTGAAACTTATCTTCTCGCTGTGCGTTTGTCTTTTTAACACCTCAGTTTAACAGCTGAAATGTCTCCCCAGCCTTCATTAGTATCTAGGAGTGATTCATTAGTGAATTAAACAAATCACCTGTGTTCACAACCTTAAACATGCAGGACACATGCTGGAACCAGACTGAAGTGCCAGGTATGTCAGCTACATTTTTTTTTAAGTCCACCAGACCGGACCGGCACTCTGAAGTTGCAAATGTGGTATTCTGGCCATAGGGGGTGATGGGGTCTGAGTGACAATTTATTAACCCTGTAAAGAGTCATTTTAGCACACACTGGCTCAAGGAACGTATTGAAATATATGAAAACGTTATATAGTATGGCTTTAACTAAGCACAAATCTGATATTTTTGTCCAATATTTTAAATAAATTATTCTTTTGATTAAAATATTATTCCAGAGTCATCTTAAGTGGTAAGTCAATCTAACTCTTCAAAAAAAGACTTATCGGTATTAGTTTTTATGTGCTGAACCTGCAAATAAACTGACCCATGAATTTTCTCCATTAAAATTGGTTCATCACAAAAAAGTATGTTGATAATTTTTATTTGGTGTGCTGTAAAAAGCTCTGTCATATCGTTGATTTTTCTCAGCAAGAATAAAATCAGCTGTGTGTAGGTTTCTAAATAGATGCTCAGTTACACAGCATGCTGAAACTGTCAACAACATGCTGTTTGTTTCTTATTCTGTGCATGTGGGAAATAGACAGTGTGGTTTGTAGCAAAAATAAATAAATAAATAAATAAAACACAAAAAACCACAAAGCAGGAATAAAGATGTGTGGGATAAGTTGGATCTGTACCTGGTGGCCTTTGAGAGAATGAAGGATGGTGAGATTGCCTGAATTACTCAAGGTGAAGATGATGACTTTGCCAGTGTGGTTGAACCGAGGAGCTCCTGCGACAAGCAGACGGCCGTTTCTGGACGAGACTATAGATGTCACAGTATAACCTGGTGATGTGAAATACACACACACACACACACACACACACACACACACACACACACACACACACACACACACACACACACACACACACACACACACACACGCACACACACATTATTGCCCTACCCACAGGGACAAAGTTAGTAGTTTTAGAGATACGTAATCCCAGCAGGTGTTTAGTTGAGATGTATTTAACTGAAACGACAAAATAAGCTGAATACGTGCTTGGTGGTAAAATTCTTGACTCATCTTTGTCTGAGCAATTAGCTGGATCTAGCTGATTTATAGCAGTGATCTCTGTGGCTATAACCAAACCTTCCAACCCGAGAAGCCCAAAGTCAGAGCTGTGTTCATGACGCTGAGCCTGTCGCACTGGCTTCTGATTTATTCACATTTTTTAGTCTCCAAATGAAGATTTTATTATTCTTTTCTACCTTCATCTCTCATTTTCATACCACTTTGATCCCAGTTTAATATTCCATGTGTCTGTCCAGAACTATGCATCCACCTCTGTTGCTTTTGAGCCTAGATTGGCTTTCATTGGCAGCCTGTTGGACAAGCTTAGATGCAAACCACTGATGGCAGAAGCAGACGTCTGTGGTGTTGAAATGAGATGAGGGTGGATGTGTTCAAAAGCGCACAAGCACTGGGTACATTTTAGAGATGAGGGCCACAGCAGGGGTAAGTAGTGTAGAATCACAGGTCTTTTACTAGTGTAGCAGTACATAACTCTATAAAAAGCACATAACAGAGGCCAAAAGCTCATGTCTGTATGATCCAATGGCTCAAGCTGCCTCATGCTAAGAACTGTATTTTACGTTTTCTGCATTTTACTAGTTACGTCCTGGTTTATCAACTTCTAACAGCCTGGTGTTACTCACCTAAATAGGCCCCATGGTTTTTCAGCTCTTCAGGAAACTCGTGTGTGTAGGACGACTTAGGAGGGATGACCTTCCCTTGGCGTATTTCCTTCAGCACCGCTCCGTTCCAGTCGTAAGCACCAACAGCACCAACCAAAATCCCATCCTGTAGTACACAGGAATACAACAATAACACTTATGATGCTGAATAGAGGAAATAGTGTCTGTATCAATACTAAATACTTATTCATCACAGTTTATAAATGAGGTTTGATTTATTTAATTTTCAGATATTTAAGAATAGTGTGACTATGAAATATGAGGAACTCACTAAATATATGTTTATATTAAAGTTGTGGTTTACTCGTTTAACGATTATTTGCAGTGGCCTCCAGCAGGAAAGAATGCCTTGTATGTCGTACTCTGGGTATAAAAAGCCTCAGTGTGCCTGTTTCAGGACGGAGAAGATTGCCAGATCAGAGGAGAGCTTCAGACTGCAGGACTCTGAGTCTTACTTCCTGATATTTGGGAATCTCACCTCTGATTGGTCAACTGCAACTCAACTCTATCACTGACTCTGTTTACTTTGCAACATTGATGTTTCATCTCCATAAACACAAGCCTGAAGGAGTTCTGCTGTGCGGTGGAGTTGACAATGCTAATGTTAGCTTCTACTAGTTGAGACGTTCTCTACTGTTTCCTGGACGCTAAACCAATAGCAGCCTTCCCCGTCGTGAGTCAAGATGGGCAATTCCATGAATGTTAAGTGACAGTGTGACATAGATCTGTGAGGCTTTTCAAATCCTGGAATTTCACTGTCTATTTTCAAACTGGAGCTAAAGCAGGAGACTATTTTCATGTTCAGTATGCATGAAAAACACATAAGAAATAATCCTTTAAAAATTGGTTTTTATTTTGATTTTGATTTTGATGTACGTCTCGTATAAAAAAAACTTATGAACTCGTATCCCACCCTTTATAAAGCAGTTTTGGTAAAGCAACATTTTATAATAACAGAAGTAGAATAATATCAACAGCAGGTTTTTCAATAAGAACTTTACAATTTTACATCTGAGATTGTTATTTGATAGCATTGCTATTATAGCAAAACAATAAGCTTCTAATTTGCATTTTGTTATGAACTTTTTTGTATGACAGAAGCTTTCACTCTGGGTATAATAAGTTTTTGTGTATTAATGAGCAATAAAAAAGGAAACAATCAACTCAGCTGTAAAAATCTGCTATTAAATCACTCATTTGGTTTATTCTTTGACTTTATATCCAAGAAGGGAAATGAAAACTCAATTAGTGTTGTTAGCTCCAACACCAGGAGGGCTGGAGAAGAGACTGATTTTTATACTTTGGTATCCATTGTTGTCCTTGAAGGGTTTCTCTTGACAATTTTTTCCTTGTAGCACACAATATTGTCCACAACACATTTTCTGTTACATTAGCATGGCTTAGAAGAAATCAGAGTTTCATCCTGGAAGCAGGACTTGTACTCTCGCCACAGCGGCACTACGTCACTATTTAGCACCAACATTACACCATTGTGGTTTCTGGTTCAGGTCTAAATAAGCTCCACGGCAAAAGGAAAAAATCTCCAAACTGTTCCACCTCACAAACCCACGACCTATTTCTGCTGCTGCTACATGACTACATGTCTTGCTTTGGTTAAAATCTCAACTCTCTAGTTTGGTGTCCTGAAAGAGCCTGGACCTCTGCTTCTATGCATCATTGTATAGGAGACGTGCAGTCCAGCACATCCATGACAATCATTAGTTTTTAGCTAAAGCAGAACCTTGATTTTCTATCAGTATTGTAGGTTTACAATAAACCACAGACAAAGGATGGTGCAATGCACGTTACCATTTTCACTGTAAATGACACTTGCTTAATTCGGACTTAGTTCTAATTACATTCAGTGGGCCCTCAGACTGTTTTTCTACTTTAAAGCACCGACATTCTTTCCAGAGCATTACCGTATACGCTCAACACTCACGCTGGTGTTGAGAATCTCTGGAATCTGGCCTTGCAGACAGTTTCCAGCCATTCCTGCCTCCCAGCTGCTTCCTCCGCTATATATTTATTTTGATCATAAGTAGGGACTTATTTCTCCCTCGACGAACTCAAATGTGAACGAGAACTGAAATATTAAAGCTGTTGCGTCAGCAAATGCGTCTAAAGAGGCAGGAGATGAGGAATGAAAACAGTTAAGAACAGCAGGTACAGTATAGGAGATGTGACTTATCTTAAACGCCCAGCTGTGCACATCTGCAACTACCCACTCTTAGATGCAAGCAAATGTTTCCAGGAAATAAAAGAAAATGAAGCCATTTGGGAAACTTGTATTTTCTCTTCCACAATATGTTTCTCTGGGTGAAAGTAGTGTACCATTTCCCACTGCTGTGTGGCTGAAGTGGAAAAAAATCTGTCTGGCTGTCAGTGGCTCCTAAATCAGGGTGACCTAACCTCTGGGGCCACACAGCAGGCCCCTCAGAGAAGCCTGGATGTCATAAATGCCTTATTGTGAGAAGGAATGATGCAGCACCAGAAACTGAGACAATATGTGTTATTTTACACACTGACAGATGGTATGAGACAGCAGGGTAGCAGAAGTGAGACTCACCTCCACGTTGTGCGCTGAAAATCCTGCCTGTGACATCTGGAGGCCAAACGCTGTCCCGTTCTTACTGGTTCCTGTGTAAACATGTCGAATTTTCAGAGTTCTGAAGCACATAGGCAGGAACATTTTATTTTCATGCAACAGTCAATATATAAAAATATAAGGCAGTAGAGCCTTTAAGTAAACATTTAAAATTCTAAAAGATTTTCAGATACTGATTTTTAGGTGTGAGGTATTTTTAGGCTGTGAGAAAACATCCCTTTTTTTTCCAGATACGTAGAAATATCCATTTTAACTGAATGGCTGGTAATTACTCATTCTTAGCACTAATACACAGATGAACTGATTAACATTGTATTTAATGAATAAATCATAGGCTCATTTGGCTCTTCATCTTTTGGGCAATGGTGGCACAGGAGTTAAGGATTCTCCCCGTGTTTGGAAAACGTGATATTTATTCCTGACATTTAGACATCTTGCCTCTGATTGGTTAACATAAACTGTTCCACTGCCTCTGTTTGCTTTGCATTGTTTGTTTTATCACCACAAATAACACGAACCTGAAGGAGTTCTGCCGTGGAGTTTCTAATGCTAACAGTTAGCTTCTGCTAGTCGAGATATTATCTGCTGTTTCCTCTCTCTGTGTGTGTGTGTGTGTGTGTGTGTGTGTGTGTGTGTGTGTGTGTGTGTGTGTGTGTGTGTGTGTGTGTGTGTTTTGCAGCTGCCAATGCAGGAAATAGGGGTAGAAGAATATTTTCACCTTCAGCATGCATTTGAAACATGGGGTGCCCGATCTTACCAAACCTCACCATACCACTTTATTTATATCATGCATTTCGAAACATAGCATTGAAAGCAGCCAGAGAGGATGCCCGTCTAGCTGTGATGGGTAGAGAATTTCAGAGTATGGGAGCGGCACACATGAATGCTCGTCCTCCCAGTGACTTGTAGGACATACGGGCTGTTACAAGAAGCAGGAGGTCAGGAGACCTCAACGCATGTGCAGCTACATAGGGAGTGAGCAGGTCAGATAGATTAGGGGGTGCTAGGTCATTCAGGGCTTTAAACACAAAATCAGGATCTTGAGCTTTACAGAGAAGGGAAGGGGAAGCCAATGGAGCGAACCAGAGTGATATGGCTACATTGATTAGTTTTATTTGAACCTTTTTAAAATGAACTTAATTTCTTGCACAACCTTCCAGACTGAAGATGCGCTCCCCAAGAGCATCCACGATATCTTTCAGTGCCGCCTCATCTGTCACATTGAAGAAGTGCTTGTCATCTGGGTCACTGGCGATGTATTTGATTTCATTAAGGAAGGCCTCAGGATTGATTCCTCTCCGGTTGTAGAAGCCAAGCACCTGTGAAAGTAAGATTTAGACAAACTGTCACTCTTTATTTGAAGCACTTGACTAAAATCAGGCTATTTGATCGACTGTGGCTCAACAACACGATGGTGAAAGTCAGCGGTTTTAGTTTCCTTTAGCTGTACCAGGCTGTCACCATTGCCTGGTGGTTTTTCAGACTGGTGATGTCAGAATTTTTTGCTCAGATGGTTGTAATACACTTAGCCACACTTGGCCAAATGTGCCATTAACTCCACCAACAGAGGCACGCAGCAATGAGCCGTGTGGTCGAGGGGAGAGAATTTACACCTTTTACTGCACTTCCACAGAGAATACATCTGGAGCTCTGAGAGGGTTCTCCTTTTATTGAACGACCCCCCTCAGAGATGTGTCAGAGCTGTATAGAATACAATGCACAAAGAAATATTCATTTAAATCGACTCACAGCAATGGCGTAACGGGTGATGCCATCCTTCTCACAGTCCTCAATGGCTTGCTGGAGATCAGGGCTGTCATGTGACTCACCATCAGTGATCACAATCATCACCTTCTTAGCACCACGTCGACCTCCTTGTTTGAAAGCTTCGGAGCTGTGGGAACAAGACTGATTTGTTCAGTCTAATGAAACAGCAGAACTGAAGGTAAATCTATTCATCGGGATGCAGAGAGAAACCATACCGAGCTATGTTGATTCCTAGAGCTGTGTTGGTCTCCTCTCCACCCCGCTGGTCGATGCTGCGCGCCCTCTTCACCACCTCCTCCACAGATTTGTAATCGCTCAGTTTGAATTCATGGACCACTTTCTCACCATACTGAACAACCCCAACCTGTACAAAAAGTAAACGAGTGAGTAAAACAAACAACATCCAAAACAGAGCGGAACAAATAACACAACTTAAGGTATTTTTGGTTTGTTTACCTGTATTTGACCTGGTCCAACATGGAACTTCTGAAGAATGTTGATGAGAAAATCTTGCACATCATACCAGGGGTAAATAGAGTTTGATCCATCGAGAACGATCACAATATCCATGAAGGTTTCACATCCTGAACAGTTTTTTAGAAGCACACAGAAAAACAAACATATGTATAAATGATGGTGCTATTGTCTGTGTTGACTTGATTTTTATGTTAAATGCTAAACGCTTACTTTGAAAGGCAGGAATTATTGTCCTGGAGAACTTGAAGCTTGCGTTGACTTTGGAGCATAGTCCTGTGCTGTAATAGGAGCTGCCACACTCGTATGACCACAGTGGCCCACAGGCCTGGAATATTAAAACAAGAATTAATCCAAGCAAGTCGACATATGACCAATATATTAAGCCTCTAAAAGTAGGAAGATGAGCAGTAATTAATTAAATTCTGACAAATGCTAATAAATAAATGTTTGTAACCAAACAGCTTGATGGAAACATTCTGTCTTTTAAAAACCTTCTCACCACAAAGCTGTTGTCTTTAGGGTTAGACGTAAGCGTCATTCCCAGCCTCATCTTGTCCTTCCGCTCTGATACGTTGGTCAGAGATATCTTTCCTTGAAGGAAAAGGAATTTCACTGAGATCTCAGATGCACAGTTCCATGCATGCACAGCCCTATGGAGAACAGACAGAGGCGCCACCATCTGGGACTTGGGTTTGTTATTGCTGTCTGGCCAGTCAAAGCAGCATCCACATCCTCGCAGCTAAATGTTTGCTTGGCAAAGCTTCAAATGAGCACCTAACCACCTCAGCACGTGCAACCCGGATGAAGGAGCATGCAGAAAGGTTTGCGGTAAAATACACCCGTGAAAATGTATGTTAACCTTTATAAATTGCGGAATGACTGGTATGTTACCCACACTTCTGTTGCACACATGTCACTATGATGCTTACCAACATGTTTAAAAAGAAAGACGTGAAGACATGTACAATACATGCATGGGCACACATTTATCTAGCTGCGGTGCACCTGTGACTGCTTCTGCTGATGTATTGATTATATCTTGCAGAGTTGTTGTAAAATGGAGTGGCGTTCTGTTATACTATACCTAAATTGAGCTTCATGCAGCCATTGCCATTGAGTCGTTTGAGCGAACATTTATAAACATCCCCTGTTTGGTAAGAGCCGGTCATTTCATAAGGGGCTCCCACAAGTAACCTACAAAAGACACAAACATGTTAAAGTTAGGCAAGTTTGTTGGTGTTCATGCTTCTTAACAGCTATCTGTGAACATTTTCTCATTCCCTCTTTTCATGAGTAGGTTTCTGTGTTGCTCCTAACTCCCCGAGGGGAAATGACCATTAATATCAGTGATCCGCAAGAAACACCTGGGCTGACCAGCACGACTTAAAACCTTTTATTTTCCCAAGGAAGTGACTTTGTTTATTCACACCCAGTAGCACCAGTCTCATTTTCAGGAGCACTTCCACATGGTCACACCCAGAAGCTGGTTAGTGCAGCTGGTCATTTCTCTGTTCTTTTGCAAGATTTTACCTTAGAAACATCTCCTGATGAAGTTATTTGTCTGAAAAGTAGCAGATGCAATAATGGATCTGTGTACCCTAAAAGAACAAACCAAGAGCTGAAGGGGCTTTTTGCACAAGAGTGTTCTACTTTGTTACAGTATATGATAGACAGCAGCTCCTTGGGATGAACGGTCAAGAATATTCATTATTAAAGATTTTAGATACCGAATGACAACTCAGTTTGATCTGAATTTAGAAAGGCTGAACATTATCTAGTAACCTTCTCAGTGGTCTATGGTATGAGCAGGGGCGGATTTAGGACTGAAGAAGATCCGGGGCTTAACACACGCACGCACACACGTGACACGCACTAGTCAACATCATATATATATATATATATATGTCTTGTACCACATAATTTTTAATCTGAAGCTACATATTCAACATATTCAGGGCAGAGTATTGTTCCTGTTAGTGTTTAGTGTAAGATGATAGTAAATATTCCCTTTCTTTCGCCATCAACTTTACCTGATAGTAAGCTAACTTTAGGCAAACCGGCAGCATAACAAATATTTTCAAATAAGACTCACAAACCTGAGTCAACACCAGTCTCATCAAAGCTGGGGTTCTGTCGTTGTTCTTTTTTTGTCTAAAACACGTCCTTATGTCCATCTTTACTCATGCGTTTCAGACAGAGAGTGTAGAAGAAGCCAGCTGCTGAAGGGCTTCTTCTTCAGTGGTGGAGGCTCAGGCAGGCTGTATACAAACTACTGCCACCTGCGCCCTCTCTGTTGGACTTTGGTACTGCATGTTACTTCCGCGATTTAGATCCGGGGCTTATCATGAAAGATCCGGGGCTTCAGCCCAAGTATCCGGGCCTAACGCCACCCCTGGGTATGAGTGTCCGGACTGGGACTGGGAGATAGAGGTTCAAATCCAGTCGAGTCACAACAAAGACTTTAAAAATGGGACCCAATGCTTTCCTGCTGGACACCCCGCTTTAAATGGTTGGATCGGGGGGTTAAACCACCATATAGTTCCCAAGCGCAGCTGCAGTCACTGCTGGTCAAATGCGGAAATGTAATTTCACCAGTGTGTGATGATGACTAAGGGAATTTAAAGGGGGCTAGGCAGCACCCCCTAGTGTCCTGTTTGTAGAACCAAAACATATCTCCTTGTTGTGCTTTCATCTTTTTTAACACCTTAATCTAACAGCTGAAATGTCTCCCCAACCTTCCTTATTGTCTACATGATTGATTTGTTACTAAATTAAACAAATCAGCTGTGTTCATGATCTAAAACAGCAGGAAACGTGCTGGAAGCAGCCTGCAGCACCAGGTATGTCAGCTAAAATTTTTGACCGTCACTCTGAAGTTGCAAATGGACTATTGTGGCCACAGGGGGCGATATGGTCTGGGTGCCCTTTTATGAACCCTGGAAAGGGTCGTGTTAGCACATTCTGGCTCTAGAAAATGATTAAAAAATATATGAAAAAGTTGCAAAGTATCTCTTTAAATCTGAGGTGGTACAAACACATTTTCATCTACAAAAGTTTTGGACAAATTAATATGCATCCTCTTCACAGTAAGCATGCAAAATATTTTTTATCTGAATGAGGTGCTGATCCAACAAAAATGTCTACATTTCTATAGCTTGTGTTCATTCTCTCATTGTAAACCAGTAGATTGTATCATCTGAATAGACAGAAAAATATCATGCTTCACAGAACATTGGCTAAAGCTAACTTTCCCAGATTTCAGACAAATACAAATAAGAAATAGAATAGAATAGAATAATAGAATAGAATAGAATAGAATAGAATAGAATAGAATAGAATATAATAGAATAGACCTCCATTGTCCCACAGTGGGGAAATTTTGGTATCTCCACAAAAAGACAAAATAATAGGGATTAACTAATCCTTAAATGACAACTATTGATGTTTCATAGTCTAAAGTGGATAAATCTCCAGTTAAATCAATCAATAATGCTTTCACAGGAATGTCTAAGAATTTTTTTTTATTAATAATTAAAGGAGTGAAGTATTGTTGTCACAGACCACCGTGGAAGACAGTTACATGGAGCAGATCTGAGTGCTGAACATTCTTTTCACATGAAGCAGCTTTTTTACAGTCAGCTTAAGTTTACTGCAGGAGGTCAGGGTGCACCATTAAATGTCACTAAAGATTTTTAGATCACTTCATGCGATGGAAGATATAAAATGTCTAGTGTGTGAGAGGTGACTGGGGTTTAGGAGGAAGAATGACGGTCTGACATTCAAGAGATCAGATGGTTTAATCCTGGTTTTCCCAACCACCATGTTGGAAATATACTCGAGCACCCCCTCATCTTTACATTGAACTTTATAGAAATCACTCACACAAAAGAGAGTTTAAGCCTTTTTCTTCAGGATTTTATTCAGTTGAATGGCTGGTGTCCTAACTGTCTCGGGTCTTGTGATGTATTTCACATGATGGCTCGTCATTGCTAGTTCTCACAACTCTCACAAAGTCTCACCGCCTCTGGCTTGTTCTCTACAGATGACGTAAACTCAATTCAAACAGAACAACCCATACATACAATAGTAAATCTGCTTATCAGCATTTAATAGAACGATATCTCAGAGATAGTCATAAATTATCTGTAGCTTTTCAGTTTATTTATGAGTCAAAGCTATTTAATTAATAAATTTCTATACTGCAGTTAAATAATTATGTAAAAGTATGATGGGGGAAGAAGTGACATCCGGAAAAACATGCAGCTCAACTCTTTGGAGTCAGAACCCATTACATGGTGATTTGGTTCTACAACAAACATTTTTTTAAAAGAACCTAAAATGTTTGTTTTTCTGTGAAAGTCTCTTTTTTCACACCACTAAAATATGATTTAAACAATAAACAAATATTATTTATTAAACTACTTTCTTAAAAGCAGAAATCAAGTTATGAAATTAATTATGGTTCAAGTAAAAGTTACAAGGAAGGTAGCAGCAAGAGAGCAGCTTCACGGTCAGCCAAGCCCCAAAGAACCGTCACTTGACACCATTTTATAGCAAAAGCAGACCATGGCCAATTTAAAGCTTAAATAATGACTGAAGAAAATACAAAACAGATATTCAAACTTGATCAAAATCAGGCTTACAAAACCAGAAAATATTCAAATATTAGATGGAAAAAATCAAATATTAAATTGGGATTTTACAAATTCTTGTCCAATGGAAGGTAACAGAATTATCATACACTTTCGTTATCATTTAACCTTTTTAACCAACAAACTGGCAGTCACAGTTAAAATAATTAAACATGTTGCCACCCAAAACGTTTTATTTAACTGTAAGTGGATTTGTATGAGTTAAAAAATTCGAGTTTAACTTTGATCTTATTAAAGGTTTTAGAAACACATTAACCTCAGGAATTTTGTGCTGAATGAACAGACACAGCAGTCCTGTCACATGAAAATCAGAGAATGTTTAGAGAAGCAGGTCTAGACCCTTTCAGCAGCAGGGGCCCCTTCACGCAGGCACTTCTCAGTGGGAAATTTTCCGTGTGAGATGCATTTTTACAGCTTAAATACTCAGGAGAGACATCTGGCCGGAGCATGCAGGGCACTATGCATGCTGCCAAATGTATGCTCAAGAAACCCGAGTGCTTCATTCAGGCTGCAGCAATGGCAGTGGATGATTCTTCATACAAAAATGTGTTATATCCACTAGTTACAATGAAAACCAACATATCAAAACTGCAGAAAGGTTCCAAATGCCTTTACTGTTGTTTCGGCAGTAATGACTATTGCTCTAACTGGAAAAATACCAGAAATCCAGACAACAAGTTGTAGACATTTCGGATGCAGCTCTGTTTAGCTGCTTTCCTCTTTAGTTGTTTTAAAGATATTTAAAACTTAAAGGTGCAATATGTGAGAGTGAAGTAAGAATAACTTCATGTGGTCAAAGTTAGGCATTGGAGCCCGTGTTTTTCTAAACAAAAAGTCACTTTCTCACTCCCGTTCTGTGAGTTTCATGGTTTTTGCCAGTTACGGATCAAAGCCAGAGGATTCTAGATGACAAGCAAAGATGAGTCATACACATTAAGTTGATAAGTAGATACACACATGGTCATATCTGATGCTAGCACTCTTGGGTGTTTTTGCAGTAGGGAACACTTACTACACTTATTAGGACAGTATCTCTCTAGCATTAGAGGAGTTTCCCCTCGTGCTGTTAGCTTGTTGCTGTTATAGTTCAAAACAACTCATTAAAGAAAGTGAAATGCCATAATTGACTCATTACCATTACTTATTCCCTTTACACATACATTTCACTGTAATATTCAGTTGCTGGTAATTGAAAAATTAGCTTGAGATATTTTTAGCCGACTATTTGCTTCTAATTAACCGTTAGCATTTTTAGCTCAACGTTAGCCTCTATTCACTTGATGGTCGAGTAAAATAAAAAGATGCTGTGTCTTCTTGGGATAACAAGAAATAAATTCTGGCTCGTTCACATTTACTGACTAGTTCTTTAAACAACTCTGGAGGTTTTTCCCTTTCGCTCGGCACAGTAACTACATCCCTCTTTTGAGAAATCTGTTTCAGTATAACCTTCCTCCCAACATGACTGAGACTGCTTTGTTCACTGAGCTCCACTGGCTACCGCTAGCAGCACGCATCAAATTCAAATTGCTAACACTAGCATAC